CTTTGAGGCATCTCAAAGACGTGATAAGGCACTATATCAAATGTAAGGCTTATTATTGTTATATTAATATACAAGTTCTATAGTCTTCAGATTCTGGAAAAGGAACAAGCTGAAAATGCTAAATGATCTACTCGTGTTCCTAGGATCAGTATAACAATTCTTGACTTCAGCATAGCATGGAGGCAGTGAGAAGGAAGACAACCTAGGTCATTGTTTTCAAACAAACAAGATAGAAATGGTAAGAGCAGTAATGACAAGAATAGGACTGCATTGTTAAAATAGATTTACAAAGTGAGAAAACTTGGAGGTCAGTAATGATACAAGTCACCCAGATAATATGCCTTTTATTGTAATTCTGACCATGGGGGTCTGATCATAAAGTATATAAGGCCTATAACGCTATAGAATTTGGTCTGATTGCTAGTCACAAAAAAAACAATTTTATCAAATTTCACCAGTTAAAAATTGTTCAGTGCTCTACAACAGATCTACAAGGGTGTCCTTGCAATCAGCAAGGAATACAGTATTAATGCACAATTGGCATCTGACCCAACAGACCATAAAAAAAATACAACTGTGTGGAGGGTGGTAAAGTTGTCGGGAGGTGTTGATCAGATTGAAGGCATTTTCATGATCCAGTCCACTGGTATGACATCGCTTTGCTAATGATAAGGCAGCTGGTATGGACGTTATAAAATAAAATTACACTCCTCCTTTCACGTCAGGAGGACAATGCCAAAGTGCTTGATAATTCTGGGCCCCAGAGCTGTGGGTGGGAGCTGAGGAGAATGACGAGAGGAAAGATGACCGAAAGCGTAGTCAAAGAGGTACATTTCGAGGCATACCTTGAAAGAAGTTATGAATACTAAAGTACTTAAAAGCTGGTATAAGGGAGGGTCAGGCAATGGCAAAGGCTTTACAGATAATACCAGAAACAGTCAGCTTGGAGCTTCCCTTCTAAGGCTGGTCAATATGATTCTGTCTGAGGTCAATATGATTCTGTCTGTTCAGAGTGGAATTGTAGTAATATCCAAAACATTAACCATACTGAGACCAAGAACTACAGAAGAAGCTCTCTCATTTCATTGACTCTTGAGGTGGTTGTTTGTGTTACAACAAAGTGAAGCATTGGAGGCTTGATCAGGAAGCAACTAGCTGCTTTCCATTCTTATGAGAAGTGTGTGGGGCAGGTTGTGGCTTTGTATGAGATTGCAGAATATCACAAAGCCCAGGGGAAACCCACCTATGTTGTATTCATTGATCTGTAAGGCTTTTAACCTCATGCCTCATAAAGGCTATATGGCCAAAATCTTGTTTTATTTAGGAAATGTGTAAAATTTAATGGGAGTTTCACCTCGCCTATTCCCCTTGAAAGACCATTGTGACCACCTTATTCATATATTTATCAATGTTGTATTGAATGGCTTTGACAAGGATGGACTTATAATAACAATCCTTGCATTTGATATAGCGCTTTTCGCGTCTTCTAGACGTCTCAAAGCACTTCACGGAATATACTGTTAAGCGAATTGACAGTATATTTCTGGGCAAAACGTGGCAGCCAATTGCGCACAAACAGTCGTGGATTGAAGGGAACAATTTTATTATTGTTCTTTTTCTCTTGAGGGATTATTATCAGGCTTGTGGAGCAAAGAAATTTGCCCAAGGTTTTGCCCTGCCGGGAATCGAACCCATGTCTCTTGCTTATGAGGCGAGTGCTCTCACCACTGAGCTACAGGACTTGAATCTGCTCCAGGCATTTGTTGTAAATGTGTTGTGTCTGTTTACACACGATAATTGCACAATTGGCAGATTCATCTGAGGATCATGTATGCTGCACTCAAATCTTATACACTATAATAATAATATAATAATAATCCTTGCATTTGATACAGCACTTTTCACGTCGGGAGGACGTCCCAAAGCGCTTCACAGAACACATTGTAAAGTGAATTGACTGTATATTTGTGGTTGAACGCGGCAGCCAATTGCGCACAGCAATGTCCCACAAACAGTCGTAGATTGAAAATGACCAATTTTATTATTGTTTTTGGTTTTGGAGGGATTATTATTAAGCGTGTGGAGTAAGGAAACTTGCCCAAGGTTTCGCCCTGCCTGGAATTGAACTCAGGTCTCTCGCTTGCAAAGCGAGTGCTCTAACCACTGAGCTACAGGACTCCACAAAATCACTTTGTGGGACGTGAAAGTCGGTGCCTCTAACTGTGGTATTACAGCTTTGCAAAGCTCAAGAAGGGACCTTGAAGGTGTTGATTGGAAGATACAAGAGGCACTTGTTATAATGGTTGATCAGCATCATAAATTTGGATATTGTGGTGGACACCAATTTTTGCTTGGACAATGTCATACGGGACCGCACTGAGAAGAGGCAAAGGGCAAGTCTCTCTGCAAGATAAAGTCCCAATGCAAGTTAAACTTGTGGCATATAAAACACATGTCCAAAAAGTTATTTGTAGTTCTGCGTTCCTAGTTGGACAGCAATAGGTATTCCGTTTGGCCCATTAGTGAAGTACAAGACCAAACAGTGAAGTGGATTTGAGGAAAAGAGAGGAAACGCCTAAAGGTAGGGAGCGCTCTGGCCTACTCTGATGTGTTACTGAGCACACTGAAGGCAGAGGCGGCTTCACAGCAGGCACTTCAGACAAGAACCTGGATCACAAGCTGTGCTGTGTAGCACTTTCCATAGTGAAGGCAGATATCTGTCAAGTAGCTAATGAGGAAACAGAGGCTTGAGACGACAGCTGCTGGAAGGCGTTTCCTGGAGTATGGATTTGTGAACATGCTCGTGCATCCAGGCTTTGATATCCACTTTGATTGGTGTGCAGAGGTAAGCAGATGCTGCTGCTCTAGTTCCGTATTTCCAATTCAGTGGAATCATCGCTCAGTCGGTAGCAATGCACATCCAAACTGTGGGCAAGCCCAGTTGTGCTACAAACCTCATAGGGAGTTCCTAGTACCTCCTATTCACCTAGCGAGGGTTCCTGCCCTTCTCAATTCAAACCTGCGCTTTTCAATTTAGTACTATTTTTTATATGGCTAATTACCAGTACAAATATTAACTAATTTAAATTGTTATCTCTTAGGTTCAGTTGAGTTAATTATATTTTTGTATTAATGTATTTACATTTTATACTGACTCATCTCTTATCACTCAGGTCAGTTATATAAACAAATATTCCACAGTCTTAATTTTATTTGATCTGCTTGATATTATTTTAGCCTTAAAATACTGAAATATTCATCATTAATAATTTTTGCATTTGATTCAGTAAATAACAAGTCAAAACATCTCAAATAGTTACACAGGTGATTTTGTTGAGTACAGCAACTAGATTTGTAGACAAGCGTAATCTAATGAAAAATATACATTTTAGATTATAATTTTCAAGTGATTGGGTTCTGAAATTGCAGAATCACAAATAATAAAGATAAAGCAGATCTCTTAACACTGTATGAGCAAGACTCAATCTTATATAACTATGTAAGTGTGGATAGTGAGAGAAGCAAAGTCAATGAAAATTTATTTTTTTGGAACTCAAAAAGTAGCTAATGCCAAATGTATTAGATTTTTTAAAAAAAACACAAAAAATGCTTTATTACAAACAAAACTTGGAAAATATTTCTTACTAAAATTAACACAGATGGACTGCATTATTTATGCATACTCACATTAAATGCAACCACAATCTATTGCGTACAACTACAGTATCATGTAGGGTGAAATTGTGAAGTAATACACTATGCAATACTGTACAATATCTACCACCCATCTACACAAAGGGTTACTATTCATTGAGCTAAAATGCATGCTTCACTTCACAAATGCCAACTGCTCTTTCATACCAATTATAGGCCTTTAAAACCAAAATCCAATGCAAATGACAGACCTTCAATTTTCCTTTCACAATTGAAACCAGATACTGTAAACACAGTTTAGATACATTAAAAAAGGGTGAAGAATTTCAATGAATGGGTCAATTGAGTATTCCACATTCAGATAACTCCCTCCAAAATACGCTTTTATTTAAAAAGCAACATTTGGCATGAACTTCGAGCACAATCACACACAAATAAATAAAGGATTAAAACGGGGACATTTTTAACAGTGGAGCAAATCCCCATATGTATTACTTTTTTTTTATTTTCACAGTTAAACAAATTGCTGGCAAACCCCTTGACAGCTTGAAAGTCCAGAAGGCAATTGCCATACTCATGTTTGTCAACAGACAAGATCTGTCTTTTCCTCAATAGATCAAAAAAAATATTATTTCACCAAAAAAAAAGGCGCACAAGTGTCCCTGATTAGAAAGTATCAACACATGAACGCCACACACATTATTCAGGAACAGTTTCAGGAAGGCGGGGGGAGGGGGAGGAGATGAATTAGGAGATGAATTAAGAGTTGATAAAAGTTTTTTTAAAATAAAATAATAATCCTTGCATTTGTTACAGCGCATTATCAGGCCGTTGAGACGTTTCAAAGCGCTTTTACATGACACCCTGCGGATCGGCTGTGTATTTTGTGGGCGATGACAAACTGCTCGAAACCGACAGAAAATAGGAGCGAATTTCATTTTTTTTTAAAAAAAAGTGCCATCATTTGAAACGATGAATATTTGTAATCGTTTAAAAGGTGAGGGGGAGGGGGCAACAAAATGGAGGGAAAGCGTTTACATTTTAAACGTTGTTGTTTTAACTCGGGCTGTGGGGAATACATTAACCAGAGGCAAACAACACCACACCCAGAACCAGCTCAGGAGAGGGAACAAATGGGTTGAAAAAGACACCTCTCCCTCTTCCCCGTACCTTCGTGGCATTTCAATATTACTTATTTCTGTTGCAGACGACAGACTTGACAGGAAGCGAGTGGAGCCGGAGCCGGAGCCGGCCCAGGTGTCAACACCAACCTCCACAAAATACAGCACATTTAAAACGTGTAACCCCTCCTTCTCCTCACAATATCAAACACATTGACATCTTACCTGAACTTTGGAGGCCAAGTTTTATTTTTGGGCTGAAAAAAAAATTGGCTTTCAAATTTCCTCTCTCTCTCTCTCTCTCTCTCCCCCCCCACCACGTCCCAACCGCTCGCGCCGTACGTCAACCGCTCGCGCCGTACGTCAACGTCTAACGCACGTCACCAGCCATCGCGCGGGCCCCCGCCTCGCGTCTGATTGGTCGGCGCTGCCGGTTTGAGTGTCACGCGTGCTGCCTGATTGGCCGGGCTCGCGGCAGCCAGCACCGCTCGCGGTGATTTGAATAACGGACAAAATGGCGGCCGAGAAAATAACCGTCTCCCAAGTGTGAGTGAAACACACACAAATACTGTACACACACAGTTGTAATTTGTTGTTGAGTGAGAGACATATATATATATACACACACACACGCAGAAAACAACCCGAGTGAGACACACACACACACACATAAAATAACTGACTCCAGAGTTTGAGAGACACGAGACAATAATTGTCTCCAGAGTGTGAGAGCGATGCACAAGTGGCACATACAGAATGAGGGAGAGAGAGAGACGCAACGCACACGTTGTGAGCCACATATCCGATAATAATAATAATCCTTGCGTTTGGTACAGCTCGATAGAGATATACACACATTCTACAGAGACGAACACCTGCCAATCTCAGGGAAGCGAGGCGGTTCTGTGTTGTCAATGGTACATTTTTAGACAACAGAAAATAAAGCTAATATTTTTGTAGGGTCCTTATAAATTTGGCTTCAGTTGGTTGCACTCTCACCTCATTTGCCTTTGAGTTTCTCCCAGTGTCCTGGTAAACAGTCTTCCAGATACATTCTCTTTATAGTTGTTTGCCAAATACACAGTAATTCTTAACAGGAATTACATGTAAATTGCTTTGAGACATTGCAGTGATATAGATACTGTATACAATGCATCAATTATAATTATTTGAAGACATGACAAGGCACTATATCAAATGCAAGGATTATTATTAATTTCCTTCCTATGATCTTGAATCATCTTTAACCCGCAGGGATTTGTTTCTAAGCATTCTACTGAAACTGGAAAACACAAATACAAAACCATCCAGCTTTGAGGTAGTCCCGAGGCAGTAAGAAATTTTCCCAACAGAACAGCGAATTTGAGAAATAGTATAGAATTTCATGCTGTGTGAATTATCTTTTCTATAAAATAAAACAAAAGGATGGATAATATCTGATTAAGAATACCTAATCTGGGTAGGTGTTCAAATTATCATGTTTTTTTGATCAGACGAATAGGAGAAATTATTTCCAATACTTGGTGAGTGGAATTCAATTAAGATAATCCAAAAATAAGAGAGGCGAGGAGAATTTTTTTTATCATTGTTTGGATGTGGAATACCCTACCAAAAACAGGTTGAAACAGAATCCATAATAGCTTTTAAAAGCGAATTACTGTAAATAGATATTTGAAAAGGAAAAATAATAAAAGGTGTGGGGAATGGGCAGGGGAGTGGGCTAAATAGCTGTTTCTTTCAGTGACCCAGTGTAGGCATGATAGGTTAAACGTCTTCTATCTGTGCTGTAAAATATTCAGATTCTAGGAGGGACACAGCTGTTGTCTTCATGCTTCATGGAACGCGAGAGATGGTGCAAGGGGGAATTTGTGGTGCAAATTGGTTTTTATTTTCTGAGTTTCACTTGAATACTTCCACTCACACAATATTGATCGCCGCAACATAAGAGACAATGCAGAGAAGAGTATCAAAGCTGATCTCCAGTGTTAGAGTGATGAGCAATATAAGAAACAACTGATCCCAAAGACACATTTCAAAGGGATATATAAGATAATAAATGGTATTCATACCGAAGCCTTTTGGAGAGAGAGTTTCAGATTTCGACTACCCTTTTTCCACAAAGGATAGTGGAAATCTAGAACTCTCAAGACTGAGATCGATGGATTTTTGTTAGTTAAGGATTTCAAGGGATATAGAGCAAAGGTGGATAAATGGAGTTGAGGCACAGGTCAGCCATGATCTAATAGAATGGCAGAACTGGCACGAGGGGTTGAATGGCCCTATAAATGTAAACGGAATAGAGAAAGTAAACTCAAAACAGTATTCAAATATTTACAGTAAACTGATAATTCAGCCCTGGCTTAACTTGTCACTACCACTTAAGTTGTCATGCTGTCAATACCCCGCCACATTAATTTATGTATTTATACATATGCCTAACTAGCCAATCTGGATAGCTCATCACTGAGACTGACAAGTTATCAGGAGTTTTATTGTAAATAAGGCAGCAGGGAAAGAGGGCACATGCCTAGGACTAAAAGGTAGGTTTAGTCCACACTCCAGAAAGTCTTTTTACACCGAATGTAAACAACAACAACCACAAAATTACATTTGTAAAGCGCTGTTCATGTCGGGAGGACGTCCCAAGGCACTGGACAGTCTGAGTTACAGATCCGAGCTGCGGGTCGGGGTCGGGGAAGGTGGAGAGCAAGGGGGAAGCAGGGAGATCGAAAGCACAGTCGAAGAGGAGGGTCTTGAGATGGGGCTTGATGCTCGCAAGGGAGTGGGCGAGGTGGAGGGACTGCGGGATGGAGTTCAGATTGTCGGAGGGCCCGCCCGCCAATAGTGGGACAAGGGAGGCGGGGGACGTGAAGCAGGCTGGAGCCTGCTAAGCGGAGGGAGTGAACAGGATGGTAGGGGTTTAGGAGGTCGCAGAAGTAGGGGGGACCAAGACCGTGGAGGGCTTTGAAGGTGAGGACCAGAATCTTGAACTGTATCCCCTGTGTGATGGGAAGCCAGTGGAGTTGGGCAAGGATGGGGGTGATAGGGTCGCAGAGCCTAGTGCTGGAAAGGACACGGGCTGCAGAGTTCTGCAGTATTGGTTTCGAATCCCTCTGTACTAACTTTCTGCATGCAACATTGCTTTGAAAAGTAATCAAATATTGTATGTCATTTACTCATTTCAATCTTTAACAAAACTATTTTTATTCATTTCTATGGTATTGGTAATTTAAAATGTTGTGTATGATGTGCTCCCATAACATTTATCAGGTGATGCTCAAGGCTAAAGCCATCATATATGGGCTTTGTAGAAAATTTGATTTATGCAATAGCCTTGATAAAAGTGTATCTCAGAAGATCAGAACTAGTCTGCTTTCCTGCTTACCATTCTTCAGAAATATTCTGGCCTGCCTCAGGAATTTAATTCTGGTTTCCTCTGCCAGAGGCTTTCTCTTCCAGGTTTCACAGTACTATACTATGATATGGAACTCAGTTGATTTGAGGCATATAAACTAATATATGGAGTCCTGTAGCTCAGTGGTTAGAGCACTCGCTTTGCAAGTGAGAGACCTGAGTTCAATTCCAGGCGCGGCGAAACCTTGGGCAAGTTTCCTTACTCCACACAGAGCCTAATAATAATCCCTCCAAAACAATAATAAATTAGTCATTTTCAATCCACGACTGTTTGTGGGACATTGCTGTGCGCAATTGGCTGCAACATTCACCCACAAATATACAGTCAATTCACCTTACAGTGTGTTCTGTGAAGCGCTTTGGGACGTCCTCCTGACGTGAAAAGCGCTATATCAAATGCAAGGATTATTAAGGATTATTATTATTAATAAATGAAAAAGAAAGTGAATTCCTGAAATAAAACAAAAATGCTGGAAATATACAATTGGTCAATGGGGATCTGAAACAGAAATATAGGTTATTGTTTAGTGTAGGATCCTTCATCAGAACTGAAATCATGAGCGGGGCAGCCCCCTTTAGGACAAAGTACATTTAATTGTCTCTTTAACATTTGATGGTGTTTAATCATGTTAAACACACTGACAAGCAACCTAGGATCAGATACCTGCGACAATTTTGTTGATGACATGATCTCTTTCAATTTTCTGGGGTTAGCCGGGTGTCTGACACATGTGGAAACCCATCATAACGCTTAAAGATATCCAAACCAAACAGTTCCATGTATCCCAACTATATATGAACATTCCAGAGCTGCGTTCTGGTACCTTTCCCAAATAGTATTTCCTCATCTACAAGCATGAGAGGGTAAGTGTGGGATTGTGCAGAGGTCACTGGACAATGATAAAGTGATGTCCTTTGCTGATTTTTCCACTCCCTATCCTAAGCTCAGGTTTTCTGCTCTGGATGGCATCAAGTATTTCAGCATAGATTGATCCAGTGTTTTGTTTTTTTGGTCAGCCAGGTGTCTGACATATTTGGAAAACCCATTACCATGCTTAAGAGTATCCAAACCAAGCTAAGGATTGCATGCATCCCATCTACATGTGGAAATCCCAGAGATAGATTTTTGGAATGGAATGCGCACTCTCTCCCTGGATGGACACATCCTCTTACCTAATTCCGAAAAATATTAGGCACAGGTTGGCAAGAGCCAAGGCTTGGGGACCCCAGAATGTACATTGGGATATCTGTTGGAGACAAACCAGCTAAAACTGCATAGCATGCCATTGATATTGCTGTTCGGAACGCTTTCCCACTGCTCTTCCAGTTAGGACCACCCTACTTGTTATGGCTTTGGCTTACAGGGTTAACAGGAGCTGAGTGAGATGATTCCCTACTCCCAGTGATTGGTCTGCTCTTCCAGGCCCTGCCGATGAGCCGGGCTGGATGTGCTGTCATCAGCAGTGCCCTGGAATACTGAACCAAACTACCAGTTCAGCTCCAAGGAGACTCCTCTCTCCCCCACCCTAGGAGGGTGATACACATTTGCTGTTGAGTCTTGCTGCTCTTCATTATATGTCAGACAGAATACGATTCATTTCCTCCTTCAGTGTCTCTCGATATCTTGAATGAATGCCATCTGCCCCAGATGCTTTGGAGACAAAATCAAGTTTCTGGCTAACATATGCTCTACTCTCTTCCACACATGTTACAGATTTCTTGCCACATTTCCTCTGACTGCAATCTTCATGGTGAAGTAAAACATTTATTCTATATCTAACTGTTTAATAATACTTCTTCCCCAATATGTCCTTTTTTTTGGCTAGCCGGGTGTCTATGACGCATACGAAAACGCATTGCCATGCTTAGGAGTATCCATACTAAACAGAGTTCCACACATCCCATCTACACATGAAAATTCCCATGAATTGAAATGATACTCTTCCTGGTATTAGGCACCGGCCTGCAGGAGCCAACGCTTGGGGACACCAGTGTGTGTGTTGGGTACTGTTGGAGTTTGACTAGTTAAAACCGCCTAGTTGACTCGCCATTTGAAAGCACTGCCTGGCAAGCTTTCCCACTGCTTGTTTAGATCAGACCACCCTACCAATTAGTTTATTTTATTGTAATTTATTATTATTACCAATTAGGACTTTGACTTGCAGGGTTAACAGTAGCTGAGCGGGAAAAATCTATGTCTCCAGTGATTGGTCTCCCTCTCCAAATCCTAGCGATGCGCCAGGATGGCTGGGCTGTCATGAACCGTAGAGTACTGCAGACTCAGCGGATAAAGCGAGAGGTTGGCTTGAATTCACCAATCCGTTGCCATGCATGACACCCTGGAGCCAGTTAAGCTCCACTTACCTCCTCCCACTCTCCCAGAAGGATAATCACCAGTTGGTCATTTAACATCCTTCAATGTGATCTACCTGTTGTTTAATACGTAGCAATTTTTTGCTATGTAACTTGAAACATGGCGTCAAGTTACGTAGCAAAAATTATTCCGGAAATGTTCTTATCAAATCTAATTTCCCTCCGTCCTCTCTCCTCTCTTCCCTTAATCTCTCTGTCAAGCGGAACCATGGCTGTGTGGGAATGCCCCTGCTTTGCCACCCACCCAAGTGTCGGCCTCACAGAGGGTGACCGAGAAAATGGCTGCGATAAAGATAAAAGAAATCACAAGCTCCCAATTTTTTTCCCCAAAAAACCCTTTTTTCGGGCGATCTTTTTAAATTCATCACTCAATCCACGACTGTTTCTGGGACACTGCTATGCACAATTGGCTGCCACATTTCACCCACAAAATATAGTCAATTAATTTTACAGTATATTCTTTGAAGTACTTTGAGACGTCTCGCTGACATGAAGCGCCTTGGGACATCCTCCTGACGTGAATGGTGCTCTATAAATGTAATTTTGTTGTTACTGTTGTTGTGATAAGGCACTATATCAAATGCAAGGATTATTATTATTATTGCCCTCATTCTTTAATGTATTTTAGCTTTTGTATGAATCTCGATTCTCATTACTCTGTTTCCAATCTTTTAACTTACCTTATTGAGGTATCAGGGAACAGAGAAACAGAAACCACACGTCCCAATAGATGTCACACCTTACCTGCGTCCTGGATTGTGCAAAATGGTATGGGAATGCATCACCCTGATGCCTTCTCAGCCACAAGAAGTGTGAGGTGCCAAAGGAGGGAGACAAACGAGTAATTATTTTGGTATTTATTACACCACATGCACATTGTTGTATATTGGCGTTGTAAATGTTTTACTAAAATAAAAAGTAGCTAGAATTAGAACCATAGAAATTTACAGCACAGAAGAAAGCCATTCACCTATCTGTGCTAGCTGTACTTGAAACATATTTATTCAGTCCCATTTACCTGCCTTTTCCCCATATCCCTGCAAATTAGATCTATTTACAGAGAATTACATAGAACAGTATAGCATGGATAAAGACCATTCGGCCCGATAGTTCATGCTGGTGTAGTTCCTCCATGTGAGCCTCCACCCTTCTTAATTTCCAATTGAATATAATTCAATGCAAATTTACATTTTTACAGCACCTTTATATTGGTAGGCCATCCCAATGTGCTACAGAGTTTGAGGTTCTCTTCCAAGCTGGGGCTGAGAGAGGAAAGATGACCAAAGGTGCAGTCAATGAGGAAGGTCTTAAAGAAGAAGTGAGTTGGTGGAGTTTCAGAGAGTGGTGGCAGATGTACTGAAAGTCTGACCGCTGAGTGGGTCAAGTGGGTGGGAGACCAGAAGCAGGCTAGTGCCCACTGAGTAGAGAGAGCAATTGGGTGAATGTATGACTTAGGCGATTATATGATTTATAAAGATAAGACTTATGCAGGTTTTACTGTTTAATGTTATTATATTTTACTTCCCTCCATAACAACGTTCTCCCTAAATAGTTAACAGCCTGGTTCAGTATTGGCATCTGCTTTGCTCACAATTCAGCTGCTTCCTTTATGTCCGCGACTTCCTTGTTCTTTGGTTCAAATCTCATCAGATTCACTTTCATTTGTTAATTATATACAGATAGCCACACCATGACAGAGTGCACAACGGAATACAGTGAATTACAGCATGAGACAGATAGCTTGGTTCGTGCTGCTTCCCTGGCAATCCTTTTCATGGCTGAGTAAGTTCAGAACTTTTGATGATTGAACTGTATTAAAATCAGAAGAATTAAGTTGGAAATATAAAGGTGGAACACTAAAAGTTGGTTGATGGTATTCTGGAGTAGGTATATTTGTGAGCAATGCAGTAACTTTCGCATTTGACTACCAGGATGGTAGAAAGTGAACTAGATGGATCTTGGTCTTTTTTCGTCTTGAAATTCCCATGTTCCTAACTCCATTAGGGTGGCTGCAAAAGGACATGGGGTTTGGGACATCAATGGAAAAAAGGTATGTATATGGGTGAGTCATCAAGAATGGAGTTGTGGAACAAGCAGCTTAGTTCAGTTTAAGAATGACAGAACTGTACAGCGTGTGACAGAACTGTTTTGTGCTGCACACCATTATTCAGCATGGACTAGAAAAAAAATCTTTGAAGGGTGGAGTAGTGCCAAAAATCATTGTATCAAGCTGTAAAGGAGGAAATGTTTGTTTGAACAGTGACAGACCGCCCCAGGTAAGTTGTGTGTAAATCATTCCATTATTTAGGACAGGGAGGTCCGTGGGCCAATTTCACCCTCCCTTCATTTCATCTGGCCCACCTGCTCCCTTCATAACCTGTAAATCTTGTTATGTTTCTGGAAGAGAATCACAAAAATATTGCTTCTGCGGCCCATAGACATTTCTTAAATAGGGCATCCAACCCTCAGCAGCCAAAAGGTTGGACCACCCTGATTTAGGGAATGTCTGGAACAAATCACATTGGAATGAGCAGCACTCAGAATTTTAACATTAAACTCAGAATCCCCTGAATTGTCCTTGCAGTTGGCTCATCTTGTGTTTTAGAGGTTATACAATCAAATGCAAATCGTAAATAATGAATGCATGCAACGGTGAACAATTAGCTTTACCTGCCGACTTCGATTTTCAAAATGGTGCGAATTGGCATGGGATCTGTAATGTCCAACAGGCAGAAGGGACCAACTTAATGTCTCATCCAAAGAACAGCACCTCCGACAATGCAGCACATTTTATTTTGTCATCTTGGACTATATGAGTTCAAAGCCCTGATGGTGAGATGGTGAGTTGAATACATAACCTTCTGACTCAGAGGTGGAAGTGGTACCAACTGACCCAGGCTGACCCTTTCGTCGTTGTGTGCACATTTGGTACCACCTTTGATCCTAGCTCCCCATCTTCCTAACTCCCAGCTCCCCCTCGTAACTTTTTCCTGGCCTCCATCTCCTTCCCTTCTCCAGTTATCATGCCCCCTCTTGCACCCACCTTCTCCACCACATCCTCACCTCTCGCACTTGCTTCTCCTCTCGATGCCCGCACAACTCTTCTCCCTATTTGACTGTCCCATGGCCTCCCTGTGATCCAGCTTGGGCATTTTCCACCATGTAACCACCCAACTGCCCAACCCCCAATTTCGCTCCAAGGCTTGTCTGTCCTGCCCTTGGGAGTAAAACTTATTCCTCATCACCACCCTTCCTGACTCTCCTCCCCATCCACTTTGCATCACCCTACAAAACATCTATTCCCCGACCATCTTACTCTAGTTCTATTTCCTCCTCTAAACACCTAACATTCCACCATCTCTAACTTCTCCCTCAAGATCCCTATTGCCTACTGCCTTCTCCCCAAACTTTCCCTGTATGTTTCCCTTCTATCCTCTCTCAGCTTCTGCTCTGAAAGTTTCCTCTAACAGTGGGGGATCATCCTCATTGCTGTCTGTACTGCCTCTGGAGCCTGGGCAGCCCTCAATGTTGTAGCAAGCAGAATCTGGCCAACAATCCCCCAGTTTAAAAAGTGTTAAATCACTTCATAGCTATTTTTGACACATTGCTGTCTGCAAATTGGCTGCAACATTTATCTACAAATAGTTACTACACTTTACAGAAAAACTCTGAAGCGCTTTAAGATTTGTTTTTTGAAGTAATAGGTTGTTCTTATTACTAAATGGAAATTTAATGCATGACCCAGGTGACCTAGCTGGGAACAAGCTTTCTCAGCTCTTCCCCACCCAAGCTTGAATCTTCCGCCAAATTACAATATTGCTCCTTTTTCCTGGACACAAATACCATGCTCAAATTGACTTGACCACCTCTTTGGGGAGCCAAGGAATAATTTACTAAGCGATTGATATATTGAGTAACGTGAGGATCTCACAAGACTAAATGCAGCTCCTGTTGGGTTATCTACTTAAAGAGAAGGTACTGGATGTAACAGTTTACAAACAGAAAACACAACAAATTCATCAAACTCTTCAGTCAAGACCAAGCAATTCCATTCTGTATGTAGGTCAGAGAAAGGTGATTGGTTATAAATTACATCATTTGCATCTTAATGTCTCATTGCTGAACAAAACAGGAAATGGGGTGGGGGCAGGGGAGGGTAGAGTTGAACAGACAAGGTGTACAAGCACATTCACAAGCATGTTCTGCATTCACAAGCCTCAGTGCATTGCAGTAGCTAGTTAGCACCTTGCATCATGTTCAATTATAATCGTTACATTTGATAATGTCAAAACATCTCAAAGCGCTTGATATGTAATTAATATTAGGTATCAAGCATTGTTTATTTTAAGACCATAAGACGTAGGAGCAGGAGTAGGCCGTTCGGCCCCTCGAGCCTGCCCCGTCGTTTAATAAGATCATGGCTGATCTTCTAACCTAATTCCATTTACCCCCCTATCCCCATATCCCTATCCTTTAGAAATCTATCAACCTCAGTCTTGAATATGTTAATGGACTGAGCATCCACAGCCTTCTGGGGTAGAGAATTCTGCAATTTCACTACCCTCCGAGTGAAGAAATGTTTTCTCAACTCAGTTCGAAAAGGCTGACCCTTAATCTTGAGACTATGGGCCCTAGTTTTAGATTCTCCAATCAGGGGAAACAGTCTCACGGCATCTACCCTGTCAAGACCCTAAGAATCTTATAGGTTTCTTCTATATTCTAGAGAATATAGGCTTATTTACTCACCTATCCTCATAGGTCAACCCCCTCATCCCAGGAACCAACCTAGTGAATCTACGCTGCACTTAGGGTTATATATAACATACTAAGGCGAGTATGTTCTTTCTTAAATAAGGAAACCAAAACTGCACACAATATTCTAGGTGCGGTTTCACCAAGGCCTTATACAACTGCAGCAAGACTTCCCTTGTACTCTAACCCTTTTGCAACAAACGCCAACATGGTATTAGCCTTCCTAGTTGCTTGCTGTACCTGCATACTAACTTTTTCTGACTGGTAAACAAGGACACCCAAATTCCTCTGAACACTAACACTACCTAGTTTCTCCCCCTCTAGAAAATAATCCGCTTTTCTATTTTTACTACCTAGGTGAATAATTTCATGCTTCCCCACGTTATACTGCCATCTGCCACCTTCTTGCCCACTCACCTAGCTTGTCTATTTCCCTTTGCATTCTTCATGTGTCATCCTCACAGCTTACTCTCCCACCTATTTTCGTATCATCCGCGAATTTAGATATGTTAATAATAATAATAATCCTTGTATTTGATATAGCGCTTTTCACGTCTTCTAGACGTCTCAAAGCACTTCACAGAATAGACTGTAAAGTGAATTGTCTATTATTTTAATATTTAAATAATTTTAATGTTAAGTTCTATTTCCTCATCTAAATCATTGATATAGACCGTAAATAATTGAGGCCCAAACACTGATCCTTGTGGCACTCCACAAGTCACATCCTGCCAATCTGAGAAGGACCCGTTTATCCCTGCTCTCTGTTTTCTTCCTGTTAGCCACTCTCCAATCCATGCTAATATATTACCTTCAATTCCATGGGCTCTATTCTTGTGCAACAGCCTTTTATGTGGCACCTTGTTGAATGCCTTCTGGAAATCCAAATACACCACATCTACTGGTTCCTGCCTATCGAACCTGCAAGTTACATCCTCAAAAAACTCTAAAAGATTTGTTAAACATGATTTCCCTTTCGTAAAGCCATGTTGACTGCCTAATCATGTTATGCTTTTCTAAGTACCCCACGACGACGTCCCTAATTAAGGACTCTAGAATTTTTCCTACCCCGATGTCAGACTAACTGGTCTATAGTTCCCCATTTTTTGTCTCCCACCCTTCTTAGATAGTGGCATTATGTTTGCATTACATTTTGGAGTAAGGTGAGAAAGGATGGGACATTGAAATTAAAACATCTGCCAAGGTCAAATAGACCAGTGGGACAGGTGTGCTAGGCTGGTGGTGTCTGCCTATACTTCCTTTTCCTATGTAATCACAGTCAAGTGTAGTGATTATTTGTGGCAAAAACAGCAATTGCTTTGCACACACAGCAAGGTTCCACAAACAGGCATGAGAAGAACGATCAATTTATTTAGAGGATTGTTACTCAGGACACTGGGAAAAGCTCCTTTCTCCTTATCAATAGTGTTGCAGGATCTTGTAGCTCTGGTAGGGGTCCTGTAGCGAATTTGTTAGAGCACTCGCCTCACAATCGAGAGGACCTTCACATTGCCTGTTTACCGAGCAGTAAGTAGGAATCTGGTTGTTGGTCAATTGGCGGATCGCTTTTCCGGGGGTAATCCTATCCAAAAAAAAATGACAATGTGGTCACTCAATCCACAACTGTTTGTAGGACACTTCTGTGTTCAATTAGTGCTACATTTCACCCACAAAATATAGTCACTTCGCTTCACAATATATTTTGTTGAAGCATTTTGAGATGTCTCAACAACATGATAAGGTGCTATGCAAGGATTCTTATTATCCACCCAAAAAAGCTGACAGGATCTCAAATTACTCGGTACTGTGGAAAGGCTGCCACAAACACCTGAGAGTTTAGTTTGTTTAAAAAAACAATGACGTTGAGGTGTAAATTTCAAAATAGCCATGGCTGCGGTAAAGTATCTATTGGAACATTTAGGGTACTGTGGCCATGCAGCTTCCTGTTAGCATACAGCTGTCCTGCAATAGTACTGCAGTCTTTCATAAGTCAGTGAAGAAGCGACCTGCTGCAACTCTACTACAGGAAATGTGACAATAAGAATCATTTGAGGCTGAAGAAAATTACAGAAGAGCTGGTTTCCCAAACGGTTCAGGACAAGGGACCTGATAAGCTTCAGCTAGAGAATCAGAACTTCTGCAGGGAGAGTGCTAGTTAGCCTCAGTGGGAAAGGAAAGCATCAGCCCTGGTTCCTGATCTCATTCCAGTTCCTTGCCTACCACCACCAATAAATGACATTTGTATAGCGCCTCATGTTGGGAGGGCATCCCAAGGTGCTGGATAGTCAAGAATGTGCATCTGAGCTGGGGATTGGGATCAGAAGAGGTGGAGGGTGTGGGTAGGAGGGTGACCGAAGGCACGATTGAAGAGGAGGGTCTTGAGACGGGTCTTGAAGGAGGGTGAGCCCAGGTCTTCTCGCTTGTGAGGCGAGTGCTCTAATTCACTTCAGGATTCCTACAAGAGCGACAAGATCCTGCAACACTATTGATGAGGAGAGGGGAGCTTCTTCCAGTGGCCTGAGTACCAATCCTCTAGATAAATTGTTCATCCTTCTCATGCCTGTTTGTGGAACCTTGCTGTGCGTGCAAAGCAATTGCTGTTTTTGGTGAGGCAAAGGGACTGGGATGGAGTTTCAGAGGGTGGGGGCAAAAAAGGCTGAAGGCCCAACAGCCGATGGTGGGGCGGGGGACATGGTGCAGGCCAGAGTCCGCTGAGCGGAGGGAGCAGACAGGTCAGTATAGTCACAGAGGTAGGGAGGAGCAAGGCTGTGGAGGGCTTTGAAAGTGAGTATGAGGATTTGGGGTATAAAATCAAAATTTTAAATAAATAAATGAACTCCCTTTCCCCTCATTGAAGTCAGGAGGAAGGTGAATGTCAGGTGGGTGGATTTGGCTGTGATGTCCCCTCCCTCAAGTTGGACAGCCTGCCTGAACTCACTAATGAGCACTAGCAATTTGAATGGGGAACTGAAAGTGGTGGTGGGTGGGCAGAGGGAAATGTACAAAGCAAGGCATTCATAGATATTTCTCTCATGACTTTGTATTTAAAAAAATGTATTTTAGAATTTGCCTATAGCAACTGCACAAATGTGAACTCTGCTGTCAGTGGGCAGCAATGTCAAGGTGTGAACTTGCTTACCACTACAATAAAGCAGCAGAATTCTCACTGCAGTATTCAGTGCAGTGCAACCACAGCTTACTGTCAAGTTAGAGATAGCAGTTGCCCTGTAATTGATGTATAAGACGCTATTTGAACAAATTGCATTGAAATAGCTCCCTTTGTGCAGAATAGCATCTTGGAGCACTACACAGGTGTAGGGTTGGACATCAAGCTGGGAGGTGGGAGTGGGTGGGGGGGGTGACTATGGCCACAATTTATTTCTGTTTATTGCTTGGAAAGTAACACACGTTTGAATATCTAATTTTAATGATATTCTGCAGAGTGAGCTGTAGGTTTAAGATGATGCCTACTAGACAATAACATTACATTTGTGTAGCATATTTCACATCGGGAGGACATCCCAAGGCGCTGGACAATCTGTGTTTCGGACCCGAGCTGGGGGTCGGGTCCAAAAAGAAATACTATGGTATTCAGAGAGCGAAAGAAATTATTTTTTCCGAATTGTGCTGCAGGGTGGAATCAACCTGCTTTATTCATCGAGGTAAAGCTTACAGTGCAAAATAAACTTTCAGTACAGCTCCTACATGAAGCAGGTCAGTACCCAATGAACAAAGGGAGAGTGGCTGGGTCGGTAGGGTTGGAGGTCGCAGAGGGTACGGTGAGGTGGGACTGTGGAGGGATTTATGGGTTAGATCTACTGGAAGTCAGGGGAGCCAAGCAAAGATGGGGGTAATAAGCTCACAGAGCCTGGTATATGAGAAGACATGGTCTGTAAAACTGCAGATTGTGTAGAGAAGATATGAGGAGTCCAGCGAGCAGGGTGTTAGCATAGTCAAGCCTGGAGGTGATGAAAGCGTGAATTAATTAATTGGCGGAGTGACCCAGTTTAAAAGCCGGCAGATTTTTTGAAAAAGGATCAAAGGTGAAAGCATCTAGATCCCCCTTTACCAAAACAAATCAGGTTGGAACCAGTGAGATACAGTGGCTGGATACATTTTGAAACTAAATGCAAGGCTTCCCACAGCTGATGGTTTGACTTACCTTTCACTGTTTTCATTGCTGCCAACTACAACACTTCCACCAAGATAAATGATCTTTGCATCTGAGACGTCTCAAAGCGCTTCACAGAATATACTATAAAGTGTAGTGACTGTGCATTTTGCAGCTCATTTGCTATTTACCTTATCTTTCAGTCTCTGTGCTTACCTAATTCCAACCCCTTAAAATACACTACCTCAACAGTATAGCTCTGCATAAATTTAATTATGGCAGTTTTTGTTCTTTCAGCAGTTATTTTATGTTCAGAAACTAATTTTTTTAAAATTCAGACTTCATTTGGAAGGCAGTTTTCTACAGTTCTTAAACTGCTTCTAAATGAAGACTGGATTTAAGAAATTCAGACTTCAGCTTCTTTTAGTGCACTATAAACAACATAAGGAATGATCATAGATATTCTATTTCCTTTTTACTCAAGCTATGATGTTAAGATAATGAAAACCAATAAAATCTGGCAAACCATTTGCACGCTTCTCAGTGCTGAACTGGGAATCAAGAACTTTATACCCAAGGATGAAGCCACAGTTGTACCATGAACACAGTTAGAAATGAACAGACACCAGTCAGAAAGATCCTAATCTTGCAAGTTTATTTCATTCGCTCAAACAAAACATGTCAGCATGTAAGAAATGTTAAAATGTAACAATGTGATACAAACAGAATAGCGACAAATTGTAACTCTAAAAAGGGATTGACTGATTTAGAAGCATGAAAATTTGACAGATCCGCTGATAAATGCCTTCATTTCACCAGAAAAAGAAAAAAACCCTAAACATCTGACAGGACAGTGACTGATAGAAGCCCATGCTGGTTAACTTGTCAGTGAAAAAATAAAAATACCTCAAATCCCAATTACACTAAAAAATCCCAAACAAAAATATTCAGATTAACTGCTGGAGATGAGTGCAGTTTACAGTTTACGTAGACCGGTTTGAATCAAGAGGGTCTTTCTCCACTTCACTCAGTATTTACTCAGAATTTGGCAACGGCGCGTTTTTCTTTAGATGTGAGAGAGTGGAGGAAGGATCACATTGGCTTCAGATACCTACGTTCTGCAGCTTGCCAGGAAAATGCTTACTCTCCCACCAGAGTCTGCCCTGCAAATTGCCACCTGAGGGATATTGATTGGATGGAGTCAACTTGAGGCTACGCGAAATATTCCTCAGTTTGTAATATTCATTTACTTAGGTTAAAACTTCACCCATTGGGAGATAAAGAAGATTCTGGGAGCTATACCTCTGGGAGCTCTAGGCAAAGCTTTTTTTTTTGTATGATTTGGATTACGCAACTTTTTATATCAAATTGACAAATTCATCCCCACGCTAACACCTGTTGGCAAAATCAAACTTAAAAAAAACTCGCTACTACAAACCGCTGAACATTTTTTTGATATCATGATGGAAGGACTCAAACCAGGTTCCAGCACCAGTACTTATTAATACGAACATACATTTGATTTGATTATAACAGATATAAAGATACAGAAGAGAAACCCCGCAGCAGCAGGGTGTTAGCTCCTCCTACACTCACCTCATCTTTACACTAGTCGCACGGTATGAACCGAGGCTGGGACAAAGCTCAGTCACACGAAATTCCACTTAGTGAATATTTCTCTCCCCTTCCACGGCTGCAATGATATAGGGCTTGAAAAAACTCACGCCTATTGTTCTGGTCTTAATTCTCCATCCTGACCTCTGGGTTTGCGCCTATTTTGGTCAAAAGTTCTCAGACTGGACTTAAATGCTTATTTTCGTCAGTTTGAATTTGCAGGTTGTGATGTTGGTATATAAAAAAATTACATGCTACCAAAAATTAGCTGGAATTTTTTTGAGCAAAAACATGAACACGGTACAATTTAGACCCCAATAAATGATGCACCTAACATGGTATTTAGCAGCACACCTGGAGGTCTATATGGTTCAGATGTACATGAAGCCATATATTTCAACAACCTCTAAGCCCCAGAATCCACAACAATCTCCATTCTCAGGTACATGGATGTACTGTGGGAGATTAAGTAGACACACAGATAGTGTCAGCACAGGCTCTATTCTGGACCTCTGTAGGTTGAAAGTTCTCATACTTCACCTTGACAATGAAGGCTCAGGGAAATAAAATACAAGATGTCAAAGTGAAGCCCTCCTGTGAGGTTGAACATAGCTCAGAATTTCAATCCTGGACAAATGAAATTGGCTTCCCACCTCACAGCAAAAAAAAAGGTTTAAAGCTTCTGCTAGAAGGTCCCAGCATCACCCTCAATATAATAATGCAACAACAAATGAAGGTGTGAGCCCTGGTAACAAACAGCTTCGCTTATCTGTACATAATTTGCTCCAATTGTTTGATTTTCCTAGTTTCAGACTCCTAAATTTTGTGGTCGGTGCGGATAGATACACTATTACTTGAAGTCAAATTTGAATGTGGACTTAAATTCTACTGAATTGTTCAAAGATCAAACAGCCCCAACAGGTTTTTGGCACATAGTGTATAGTACACGGCTATAAAACTTTTCCCATCAACAGCAAAAGATACAGGAAATTCCCTTTAACTGCAATGGCCAAAGCCGCCAAATGCCCGACAATTGTGTTGTGAGAGGCAATATCAACAAGGCCAAACAAGACAGGCAATATACCCAACGTGGCAATGTAATGAAAGCTGAAGGCAAAATACCTTGGGTAAAAATAGCCAGTTGTCTGTTGGCTAGCTTTTATACCTGATGTGACAGTTCATCTTCCAAAAATTTCCATGAGATTCAAGTAAATTCCATGTAAACTGTTACATTCAGTACCTTCTCTTTAAGTACATAACCCAACAGGAGCTGCACTTACGCTACTTGATCTATCAAGAGATCCCAAACCAAGTACAGCAAGCATATAGCTGAACCATGCAGGACATTACTCAGCAAGGTATCTGAACATCTCATCAGGATCCCATCTCACTGACCGCCCCCCCCCCCCACCCCCCACCACCACCCAGACTGCTGGTAGTAGTTTACATTGAGAAACAAAATATAGGAAAAGGGTGACCTCAGTTCTGTCAGCTCCGTTTTGTTTTTAAAAAATTCACCCAGATAGGAAGAAGGAACTTCAATTCATACAAATATGTGACTGGGTTTGGCCAACACAGGGGGTTAGGTTTGGGCAAAGCAGGGCCTATGCCACCGATTGACTGAGTGAGTCAAACATTGGCAGCGTGCAATTCCAACCCTACCTCTTGGGGGGAGATAAGGAGACGTACCTCCAGGTTGTTCTTCAGCACATCCTGGCTATCAAAATGTAAGGAATATACATAAAAACAAAAAAAAGGAATGAAACAATGGACTGATTTTCATCTGGTCTACATAAATCTGCAGTAGAAGAATTCAGCAATCCACCAACCAAGTCTGCCCCCCACCCGCCATCACTGTGCCAAAACACTTAAAAATCTGACTGATTTGTAAGAGAGGAATTATTAACAAAGTTATAATAAAAAATATCACTTATCGTTGCTACTAGAATTTTCCTTCATATGTAACCATTCGATTTTGTAAAAATAGTCTACCAGAGCCCAAAGTGACACTCTCTCCCCCCCCACCTCCTTTTGCGAAAACACCTGGGAGCTGGGAGGTAAGAGGGCCAATGTTACCAATCAAAATTTTCCCTAATCTTGACTGGCAATTTCTACACACAGATCCTGTTCTTAAATGAGCCACAACCATTAAACACGAGTCAGGTTCAAACACCTGAAAATGGTCCAAACCATAAGTTTGCTGCCTCAGACCGTAAACCATGTTTGTGTTTAATTTATGACCAGGTTAACAAGGCCTGCATTGGAGGACTCATATCCGTGCAGGCAGTTTCCTTAGCTAGATGGAGCCTTGCAATTTAGGAAATGAACTCCAGGGCTGAAGTACACGCTGCACAACTGGCCATATCTCATTCATGACGAGTGGATGTCAGAGGAAGACGAAGAAAGATTTTGAATGGATGATGTGCCTACGGTGCTAAAATGCCTGAGACCTAACATTTCTCATGTTCTTGGCATTAAAACCATCGTCTTCAAATTTAAGGTAGTGCAGAATCCTGGAAAATTCTTAAATACAATCTTAATTTTGAAAGGAAGTTTTATTTTTAAGAATTGCAAAGGGAAAAGGTTTCCAAATAAGACCATTTAAGAATTTTCAAAAATTCTGGACCATCCCAAATTATGAAGACCATGAGAGATTTCTCAGAATCCTAGAACCTGCTAAACATATAGTTACATAATGAGACATCAAGGGCAGGCAATGGTGACTGTGGAGGGTTTTAGTTACAAGTAGTGAGGCACCAGGCCTCAAACTTGCCTTATTCCAATTGTTCAGACATTACGTCTCCTCCAGACTCAGATGAAGTTGCATACAGAATTCCACATTCAGTCAAGAGGAGGTGGTTTAAACGGACATTGTCTGAATATTTGGTGGTGGGAGCTGTAGGGAATCCCAGCCTCTGGTTGCCCTGGGACCTCTGAGGTGAAGAAGTGAGACTTCTATAAACCATGTAACAAGTGATGAACATGGCTGCCTGCCACATATACTCCCAGGATCTCCCAGAACACCTTGAAAAACAGACACTGATACAGGATGAAATCTGGAAAAGAATCAACTCACCCAGAATTTTACCAACTTTGTCTCTGAGAATGCAGAGGATTAGAAGCAAACACAATCACTGACTTCTTCTCTCCCAATCACCTCTCCCTGTCGTGGCCCTCACACAAATTTTTTAAAAAAGGCAACTGGATGGTGCGTTTACATGACAGCAAATTGCTCAAGTAAAATGGGGAAACGGGGAAAGAAAAGGCCAATTTTTCATCAGTTTTAAAACTTAAAATAATCAAACATAAAAAATATTACAATATACATTTGAACGTGCACAAAATCAGGAATCAGGAAAGACAATGAGAAAGGGTACTGAGAACTTACGCTACTGATTGGACTGACAGACAAGTCGTTGATTTGGTAAAGCATTATCACAATAACACTAAGAAAGGCGCCCATCTCCCTGTATCCTTAAACCCTGTGAATGACCATTGCTTTGAAATTTAGAAAAATACAGGTATTCTAGGACATCCTGACTATAGTGCACATTGCCACTCCTCCAGGGGCTTCACTCGGCATCTTCCTATATGTAGAAACGCAAAAAGAAATCGTACCAAGGCAGCTGATGCAGGTTACACCCCTGTAAAGCACAGCACAAAGTGATCTATAGTTAGTCATGTCCAAGGTTGTGCTCAACCTATAACCCACCTCCAAGAGGAAAACAACAAAAAAAGACAGATTGTTGTGCAAATTCTTTTCTCTCAACTGACGCAACTGTTTCTCAGCAACACTGATTCCATTTCAACAGATTAAAGAACCTTTGCATATTACTTCCTCCTCCAGGAACAAGGTCAGAAAAAGCAGCAAGCAGTGAAGGAAAAAAAGAAAAGCACGACAGACAGTGTGATGAGGCTGCCCACAAACTCTGTGAGCTTGCCTCCCCTCCTCCCTCCAGGTTTGCTTGGTGTTTCTTTTTCTCTCTCATCACCCTCTCACTGTCATCTGTCGTCACAATGTCTAATAAAAGGGTTGATTCCGTTCGGCACATTCTCTATGCAGTGTTCGATTTGCTCAGTTCCTGTCTGATTGCTGTGGAGAAACATGGACTTTAGTCAAGTCTAAACCATTTCAGTCCCTTAAAAACAATTTTCCTCAATCAACTGCTTCCCCAATCCCAATTGATTAGAAGTTTAGATTGAACTTTACCTTGCAACTAACCCATGCTGTAGTTGCCCTGGGAGTTTTGGACAGTAGAGGAAACATCACCCTAATTCTAACCTATACTGTAATTGATTTGGGGCTGCTGGGTGGGATAGTGTAGATTTCATCCGACTTCCCTCCACCCCCCAATTTCGTCTGGCCCACCCGCTCCCTCCATAACTCATAAATGTTTTTGGAAGGGAAACACAAAAATATTGCTTATGCGGCCTGCGGCCGTTTTTCAAATAGGGCATCCGGCCCTCAGCAACCAAAATTTTGGATCACCCTGGTGTAAAGGACCTTCACTCTGCATCTAACCCATGATGTAGTTGATCTATGAGTTCTGGATGGCAGTCTTGGGGAACTTTACTAACCTTTATTAGTAACCTATTGCTGGACCGGACACAAGAATAAAGCCATCTCTGCAGTGTACCATCCAGTATGGGTTAGATTTAAGGTGCATGGACCTTCATTGGGCTATTAGGGGTGTTATTTTAGAATGACTGCACATATTTAGTGGATTTGAATTTGCTGCTATGCTTTGGACTCTGCCTCAAATATGCGCTGTAAAGATCCAGGTCTTAGCAGCCTATGATATCTGAAACATCTAGCAAAATAGCTCCGTTTGTTCACACTCACCATCGATAAGCTCCTCTTTTAGTTTCTGAAGTTCTTTTCTCATTTCTTCTAAGATGTCCTGTTTTACAGAAGGATAATTGTGAATAAAACATACGTCCAGGGCACACACCAGTAACATATACATAGTCCCAGCATGTCTGTATACGGGGTGTTCTGCTAACATCCGTTGAAATAATCACCGCACAATGTGGTCAAAGACCAGGGAGGCCACTACACCAGTGCTCAATGCCAGGGGAGGACTGAAGCTGGGAATCCCCTCATTGCACAGAGATTAAATCAGTAACATCGGCTCAAGAATATAGTGGGGGAGGGATATAATTTATCATCAACAATTGCAGAAAAGTTATGATTGTTTTTAAATACAAAATTGTTAGGACATAGAATCAAGAACTCTGGTTGAAGCAGATTCGATAATAACTTTTAAAAGGGATTTAGAAAAATACCTGAAAAGAAAAAATATAAATAAGATTGTGGGGAAAGGGTAGGGGAGATGAGCCAGCACAGCACACGGCTGAATGACCTCCAATGTTGTAAAATGCTAGGATTCTCTAGTAAAACATACAGAAAAGGAAGAAGGCTGGTACAATGCACCTGTTTCAATCTGTCGTAATCAAGGATTTCTGTTGGAACGCCGTTGGTGCTTGGTGCCCCACTTGGGATTGGTGTGGATTTGCTTCTGAAAAGGAAGAAACCAGAGAAGTGTTAACAGTGGGCACGGTGAGTATGTATGATGTCACCAAAGGTATTCGGAGCAGCTTCTTGTTTTTTTGGGGGGGGTCAAAAGTAAAGAAGCATGAAAGGATTGTCAAGAACAGGTAGATCAGCTAGTAATGGCATCCTTCACTTTCCTTCACTCACAGAGGGCATTCTAGCTTCTGGTTAGGTTTCAAACAGTGTTAAATAGCAACTCAGAAAAAAATCTGAGCATTTGAAAAGCGTCAATCATTTACACACAGCAAAGTAATTTCCTGTTGCTCCCACTTGTCTTCAGAGGTGAACTAGTAGTGTTTACGATACCCTGGATGTTAGTGGGGAGGAACACTGCTGGTCCTCTCCAACTTATCAAATTGCAAGAAGTTATGATGAACTTATGTGTGTACAAGTTCAAATATACGCGTGCATTTTCCTTTTCTACACATGTCTACATATGTGCATTTGTGTGTGCGTTCTCATCAGTATAGCATCCTCAAGAATAGAGGTTGATATTTATAATAGAGAAGGGGAAGAAACAGGAAAAGAGTAACGGGGGAAATTCTTGGACCCACCGAACAAACTGCACACAGATCAACTGTACTTTGTACATGCAGATTAACGCACACTTCCTGAAACTCCATGCATTGCAGGTCTGCCCCCTACTGATTGGATGTGGTAACTGCAAGCTGAGTTCAGACTGAACAGGCCAGCTGGTACCTGTTTAGTGTATCACAGAACCTGGTGTCAGAGAGCAGCTGATTTCTCCACGGAGAATCTCGTCTACGAGAAAGAAAATGAACCTTCAAAAAGGAAGTCTGACAGTGCAGCTTGACCAAAGGAATCATTAATTAAATTCAGATTACATCGCAAGCAATGACTTAGTGCCATCCTCATTGACTCTCCAGCAGAGACCAATATTCTACTGAGTCTTTCCCTGGAGGTCTGCATTTTGTCTTCAAAATTTAAAGTTGAGCAAAACTGTGGAAGATTCTTAAATTCAGTCGCAATTTAGAAGGTGGATGGTTTCTTTCTAAACACGGTTGAAAAAAGATTAAGTGTGAAATTGAAGAATTTTCCACAAAATAGTCTCACAAGATAAGATTCAATGAAAGTTTGATCTTGGGTACACTGGCAACTGCATGCCTGGTCCTATGATAGATAACTTATTATTCATTAAATCTGAGTTTTCAGAGATGAAAAACCAAGCTCACTAAAATAATCATATTCAGAGCACTTGCATTCTTGCAGGGTATCCCATAATACCTGCAGATTATCTGTCATTGTGAAGACTGGAGAGACAGGCTGGTGATGACATCCAGAAACAGCAGTGAGCTACATACCTGGGAGACCCAAACAAGAAATCCTCAGCTGATTTCCACACTGTAATCCAATCCAAGGTTCAAATGGTCTCTATCTGCACTATAGCCTCTAACTGGCTTCTGTGTATTTAACACTGAGTAACTCCAGCCAGCTCTCCCAACATCACCCGTGGACTCCTACCAGCTCTCTCTCACCATTGTTTCGACACAGTTGGCTGAGTATCCATGCTGCGGTGGGGGGGAGAAAAGGTGATCCAAAAGACTGCGGGGCGGGGGGGGGGGAAACAAAGGAGATAAGACAGAGATGGAGTTCCAAAGAGCAGGTGCAAAATGGCTGAAAGCATGGCCACCAATGTTGGGGTGGTTCGGGCAAGGGACATAAAGCAAGCTAGTGTTAACTGAATGGAGGGGTGAAATGGGTAGCAGGTTGCAAAGGAAGGGTTGTGCAAGGCTTTGGAACATGAGGATGATGACCTGGAATTCAAACTGATGGGGGATGGGAGCCAGAACGGAATAATGCTTCCGGAATCGAGGGTGGAGGCACAGAGATAACATTGGGTGTCATGCCTGTACCCCATGCCTGCGGTTGATGTCACAAAATGGAGGCATAAAGATAGAGAAAAAGAGAGGACCAAGGAAGATCCCAGAGCAATTCTGTATGTGACTCTGGAGCGCAGGAGGAGAAACAGTGAGGAGACAAACCTGGGATAGGTAAGAATGAAACCAGGAAGGGACAGAACCGTGGAGGTGGAGTAGAGAGACCGTAGAGAATTACGTGGGCGACAGAGTTGAAAGTGGCAGAGTTCAGGGAGACAGAGAGGTCAAATCCCACATGGAGAAAGTGTTGCTGACCTTGACCAGGGCAGGCTCGATGCTGTGGGCAGGGCCAAAACTGATTGGAGTGGCTCTAGAAGAGATAGTGGGAGAGGAAGGAGTGAACGAATGAATAGATGAATCATTCCAGCCCTTGGAGATGGGTTGGGAGATGTAGAATATGAAGGGTTTGAGTAAGGGTTTCTTGATAATGGGGAGGGGTGATCACATTAGTTTTGAAAAGGGGAGGTTTACTGTACCTCGGTGTGGGGATGCAGTCAAGGGAGCAGATGGGTGTTTTTCATGCAGGAGATGAGGGAGCGGGTCAAAGGTGTGGAAGGATGAACAAGTGGAGACCAGGCAGGAGGATGGACAGGGGGTTGGCAGGGATGGAATTTGCTCTATTTTGAACCCCACCCTCTCGTATTTGGGGTGAACCAGATTGCAGTGAGACCAAGAATGTCAATGTTGCCACCTATGGATATTACTCAGTGTTTGGAATGGAATGTTCTCTCTCTCTGGAAAGATGGGCTCTACTTTCCTAATTTCAAAAAGGATTAGGGCAAGTTGGCAATATGTTTGGTACTGCTACCATTTAACCAGCTAAAAATGCAAAGCTTGTCATAAGCACTGTTGAGCAAGCTTATGCAGCCAGCACCACCCTACCAGTTAGACTATAGCTCACAAGAGGCAAGTGGAATGAATCCTGTCCTGAGGTACTGATTTGCACCTCAAGTCCTGCTGATAAGCAAGCTGGATGGTCTGTAATCTGTAGTGTTCAGCAGTTCTGCAGATTTCCCCCCCACCCCCCAGCTCAGGAACAAGACTGTCAGACCACCACAGAGGGGCAACTCAATTCCAACATTCTTCCACCATCACAGATCAACTCCAGCCAGCTCTCTCTCACTGTCTCCCAGGGATTCCAGCCAGGACATCCATACACAATCACAAGCGCTGCTTTGGTGCAGCAGTGACCAATGGCAGGTTAATTAGCTGATATGGTACAAGATGAAAACGGCTCAGTCTAGTACCAACTCGTGCTGCAGCTTCTTACCTGGAAATAACGGGCGATTTGTTGCCATTTACAGTGCTGGTTCTTTCCCAGGGCTTTCTGGTCGTTTCTAGTAAACAAATGTAATTTTAAAAACATTTAATTTTTTTAAAAAATGTGCGAGATCAAATAAGGCCAGCACACTCCACGTGTGTGAGAAGTGAGCAGACAGCTACAGCATTCCTCATGTGAGCACTGAAAATGAGAAAGTTCAGGGGGTGTATTTAAAATTCTGAGAGGTTTTAATAGAATAGATATAGAGATATAATTTCCACTGGGAGCTGAGTGAGATGAGGGGCATCAGTATAACATAATTGAAGGAGCAAAGGGGAAAACAAAAGGATTTTGTTCGATCAGGTTGCTAGGATGTGGAATGCCTTATTACTGTGGTGGTCAGGGCAGAATCCAAGTTAGCTTTGAAGAGGGAACAAGATATACAAAAAGGATTGATTTGCAGTTGCCAGGGGACAGCTTGCTTATTGTGTAATTGGAGCACCATTCTGCTGTATGTACAATAGATACTCCACGGACTTTACAACTCCTGAATAATACATGGCAGAAATGCAACTAGTAAAGGTCTCTGGTATCATCAGAAATGCTCCTTTGTTTTCAATTCTTACATTTGCTAAATGTTAATATTAACACAGAGCTATACTCCTGCAAAGCAGTGGTGCTGCACTGCCAACCACAGAGAATGCTGGCAAAGAGTTTGTAAATGGCAAATATACAAGCATATGAAAATCCAAGTGGCTGCAGTGTAAACAATTTAATAAGAAGCAGCTAGTTTCCCCTGCAGCACTGAAGTAATGAAGCCAGCAATTTGCTTGCTCTGAAATCACCAGTGACTACTGACGAGGAGACAGCAACGCAAATTCTGGCTACCAGCTTCACAAAGGCTCCCTGTCCCCCAGGGAAGCCAAGTCAAGATCTCATTCTGACCATCAAATGCACTTCTTCAGCCCCACTGGACGCGGTCTCTATACTCCTGCTCTGAGTAATTCTCTCCCCTAATCCTTCCAACTCACACCTCTCTCCCCATCTTAAAATCTTTTTGAAAAACCTTATTGCCCAGACCGTTCGTCAACTAAACTCTCCCCCGCCACACCCACCTTCCCACCTTGCTCAGTGATCTACACCATCAATGTAAATTGTTTCAAGACATTCAACAAATCAAATAGTCAATTTCAGTTTTTATATCTCTCTGAAATGTTTAAAAGCTCTGAAATATCCCTCCACCTGGTGCCCTCTTCAAAACTTCCTAATTCTCCTCCGGCCACCCTTCTACACCTACCCTCCCTGCCCTCCACCCCTCCTGCTTGGGTCCAAATCCCTGACTGTCCAGCGCTTCAGGACGATCTCCCGACAAGAAAGGGGCTTCACGAATGTAATTTTTGTTATCGTTATTTAATTTTAGTCAGACAGTGTCTGACATGAGCCAAAACCCGTCATCCATCCAAACCAAACTGAGAGTTCCACACATCCCACCAACACATGGAAATTCCAGAGATAGATTGTTGCAATGGAATGCGCACTCTCTCCCTGGAGGGACACATCCGGCTTACCTACCTCCAGAAAGTAATAGGCGCAGGTTAGCAAGAGTCAAGGCTTGGGACTCCAGAGTGTGCATTGGGTACTGCTTGAGTCTAACCAACTAAAATCACATAGCTTGCCATTGATATTGTTGTCAATGGCTTTTGTGCATGCTGTTTGTTCAGCTAGGAACACCCTAACTGTTAGGACTTTGGCTTGCAGGGTTAACAGGAGCTGAGTGGGATGACTCCCTGCCCCCAGTGACAGGGAGTTGTTGTTGTTAAGCGTGCCTTCAATCAACTTCCTCTGAAGCCGCTCTCCTTCGCAGCTTGCTCAGTGTCCTACACTGCCCTTATAAAACAGTTTGAGGTCTTGTTTGATGCGAAATGTCCTATATAGGCTATATGGTTGTTGTTGTTGGGAGTGAAGGCCAGTGAGTACATAGGACACCTACCTGATGCACTGGATGCAGTTGGGGCTTTCGTGCTTGTAAGTTCAGGTTCTTCCTGTTGAAAAAAAACATCCACATATGAAAACATGGAACGATCTCCATAATCGCATCATTTGATAGGAGTGGTTCTGCTTGGAGCTCAGCAATGTATCCCACACTTGAGGTCTCCTCCCACATGGAGTATGTGGTTTGCTCAGGTGTAAGACATTCTAAATTTATTATGCATTATTCTGTATTATCCACACTCTATGACGGAACAGATTCCACAGACATGGACCTCACTAGGTGAAGAAGTTGACAGTCTGAACATTTGAGGTTGGTACAATACTTACATTTTTCTCCTCCTTCTGGTCTGGTTCAGCCACTGAACCCTTCTCAGCAATCCTTCTCCTACAAAACAGAATAAACTCTTGTTAGAGCCCAAACTTCATAAGGGACACATGTCAAGAGTACAAATAATTCAGAAGAGATTCGAAGGTGGATTCTGTTCAGAGAAATTCAGCCAGACAAACTCCTCTATAGCATTTCTGCTGAGAGCAAGAAAGTTGAAGACTTTTGAAGAACTTTATTAAATAGAAACAAAAGACTAAATATTTTGTTACCAAAAGTTGACTTACCTGCAACTAATTAAAAAAGTAACAGGAAGACTCTCCAAGGGACAAACCCAGTCAAAGTGAGAAATGATGCAAAAGACCATATCAACTAATATGAGAGATGACCCAGATGAGAACATGCTGGGCAAGACCCAAGAATGCTAAACTAATGACAAGAAAAGGTTGCATTGTTTACAAACTTTTGTGAATCCTAGATTCCTAACTCCTCTGAATAAAGTTTCGGCACAGCTACATGCGGTGTTGTCGTATGTTTAACAATTACAATTTTAGCATAACTTCTAGTAAATAAAATAACTTAAAAGACATTCTGTTTAATATTGTCAAAGTTCTTGGTTTCATCTTGGTCAAATCTCTGTTAGAGCCATGAATTTATTTGTCAGCTTCTGAAAGAACGTGTCTGTCCACAGGGGCAGTGACTCGAATGGACGAAAAGGAGAAGTAACTGTTATTGCAAGTTACCCAACCAATTGATGAAACATTAAATCAGAACCAGGAACATGCTATCAAAATCACTTTCAGAATCACAAGATTATATAAACTCTCGGATATTCAAAGGATTTCCCTAACCATTTTGGAAATTCATTCTATAGTATCCACGGATTGTATTAAATATATATCCACTACTTTACGCTTTTATATTCTTACAATCATAGGTTTGGAGCAGAGAACAGAGAAAGCTCTAATGTATATTCTTCCATTAAAAACCAGGTCAGACCAGAAGCTGAAAGAACGACAAAGAGGGCTTTACGCATTCTTACATTGATCCCACATATCTGAGCCATTGGTTAATAGTCTTCAGAATTAGGCAAGCAGGATGCACTCTCCAGGGAGAGAGTGCGCATTCCATTCCAACAATCTATCTGTAGGATTTCCATGTGTAGGTGGGATGCACGGAAATCTGTTTGCTTCAGATTCTCTAAAGCATGGTGATTGGTTTCCCATGTGTCAGACAGCCGGCTGACCAGAAAAGAATCAGCACTCACCTCCTGGCCAGCAGGGCACTCATTTCTTCCATCAGACCAGTACCTCCTATTGAAATTGGGGCTCCATTCCCCCTACCAGTATCTGATTTGGAAGGAGTGGAGGAGGCGTTGGCATTGCCTGTGGCAGAGCTTGAGGTTTCATCACCCTGAAAAAATAAACAATGCAGTTAACTGTGTGTAGTTGGGCTGAATAGCCTGTTACTGTGCTGTATAACTCTGTTATAATTCTATGCATAATTACTTTTCACTAGGAAATCACACACACAAAACATTACAACACAGGAACAGGTCTTTGGCTCAGCAAGTCTGTGCTGTTCCTTTTCTCCACATGAGCTACCAAACTTAACAGGTAGCCAACAGAGTTTGATGAGGATTGAGGTTATGGGCTTGCAGAGTTTAGTGTAAGTGAGGATACCAGCAGCATTGTTTTGGATTAGCTGGACCTTGTGAATGGTGGAACTGGGGAGACCAGTGAGGAGAGCGTTTGAAAAGTCAAAGAAGTAGGTGGCAAAAATGTGGATAAGTGTTTCTATAGCATTTGGCGTGAGAGAGGGACAGAGGCAAGCAATGTGCCGAAGGTGAAGAAAAGCAGACTTGGTCATTCTTGAATATTGTCCACCTGTGCTGCTACTTTTAAAGTCTTGTGAATGTGGACCCCTTTGTTCCTCTATCCCTTAGGTTCCTACATCCAGGTTATTGTCAGCTTCTTTATTTTTCCTATAAAGTGGATCACTTCACATTTCCATGTATTAAATTTCATCTGCCACCTATCTCCCCATTCAGCAGAATCACATTTATATAATGCTTATTTATTCATTACTGCATACATCTGCAATCCTCTTCATTATTTACCATGCTCCCAAGTTTGATATGTGTCAATTTCAACACAATAACTCCTATATCTTAGAAATACTCTGTTTCCTATTTTCCAGAAATGTCTCAATCCAGAAACCTTTGTGGAGTGTTTTGAAATTGTTTGATGTTATAAATGCTATATTAAATCCAAAGATTATAATTAATATTATTTATATCTGCTATGACAATAAAGTACATTTTTTCTGGTTACTTTTTCTGAAAAATCTTTGCATTTAAACGCAAGAGAAGTAACAGTCAGAACCTTTCATTGGCATGTAGCTCTGTGAAATGTATCTGTACAAGCTTGTGAACTGGAACAGGGTATGAAGAATTTTTTCTCTCACCCGTCCCACTTTACGTAGTTTTGCTCCAGCGAGAGCAGCTGCCAGTCCTGTCAGCGGGGAGCCGTCCTCCGTCACGGGCCCCATAGAGAAACCTGAAGAGGGGAGAGGGGGAGCGGGAGGAGGAGGGGGAGCAGGGGGCGGCGCTTGCCCTAGGAGGGGAGGTGGGGGTCCAGGTGGAGGAGGGGGTCCAGAAACTGGAAGTGGTGGAGCAGGTGGTGGGCCCGGTGGTGGCGGAAGCCCTGTAGCGGATAGAGCTGGAGAATGGGACAGTCCGGGAGGAAGAGGGGGTGCAGGAGGAGGAAGTGGGGGTCCCTGAACAGCACCACTCGCCTGGACAATACCTGTTTCAATAGAAAAACACAATAGATTAAACAAAGCACAGGACTTGATTTGTACCAAAAAAGTCCACTATATACATACAATGCTGTTACACCGAGAACACTACACACTTTCTGTTCTCCATAAATCAGAGGTAGGGGAGCACTAGAAACAATTCTATAGCTAAACAGATATGTTAAAAAGCTATAGTTGTGGCTCAAGTTAAAAAAAACTGTGTTGCTCTTAAAGAAATGATGGTGTTACAATGTTGAAAGAGCAGAGGATGGAGAACCCATTCTTCAGGGTTTTAGATAGTGTTCAGCCCCAATAAGTGGAATCCTGTAGCTCAGTGGTTAGGGCACTCGCCTCGCAAGCGATAGACCTGGATTCGATTCCCGGAGGGTGAAATGTTGGGCAAGCTTCCTTACTCCACACATCTCTGTTTACCTAGCAGTAGGTAGGAACCCAGTTGTTAGTCTATTGGCGGATCGCTTTTCCAGGGGTAATAGTTCCTTCAAAAAAAATTAGTCACTTTAATCCATGACTGATTGTGGGACACTGCTATGCACAATTGGCTGCCGCGTATTTATTATTCAGTGTCAGACACAAAGTATTGCAAATTGTGTCCCTGAACCCAAATTTCTCCCATTATCTATTCAGCAGACTCATGCACTCATACAGTCCTGACAGTAGATTCTGAACTGTAGGAACAAGAAGCGATCGAGTTGCTCCACCAGTTTATTAAATCACAGCAAGTATTTCAATACTATTTCTTCCTTTTAGAAATCTGGGGCAATGTGTTCTATATTACTGTACAATACAATACTTTGTGGAGAAATGTTTTCTGAGCTAACTTCTAATCGGCCTAACTTTAATTTTAAGACTACGTCCCTTGTCTTGGATACCTCTACCAAAGGGAACAGTTTTTCAGTATCTCACCTGTCAATTAATTCCCCACAATATTTTAAACGCTTCAATCACGTCACACCTTAACTTACTCAACTCTGAGAAGTAAACCCCCCCCAAACAGGAGGATCCAGTATACAATTTGATGTCTTTTTTCAGCTGACCAAGTTGTAGCTTTATAAACAGCAAAGCCACTGATCTGTCAGATAGAGTAGAACACTTCTCAACTCGCCACTTGTGCGTTGTTTAAGCTCACCCATTTGCTTTAACGCAGCAAGGTGAGAGCCGTGTAAGCAACAGTCCAACTTTAGCCCGATGCAAACTGGTCCTTGCTCAGCCGAGAAAGTAGCAGAGACGCAGCCTTACCCTGTAGGATGTCAGCTTCAACCAGCTGAGAGGGTGCCTGGGCGGTGGGATCAGGAGCCGAGGAGTCTCCCAACCCAGAGAGTGAGTTGTCAGCAGAGGCAGGCAGCTTGGGTGAGGCAGGGGTGACTGCAGAGGGAGAAGTGGGGACAGGAGGCTGAGACATGGTGCTTGAAGATGCAGGAGTGGCGTGAGAGTTTGTGGATGACAGAGGCAGATGGCAAGGAGGCCGGGGAGGAGGTGGAGGAGCCTGGGACTGCTGGGGAGAGGCTCAGGGGGGCCGTTAGTAACAGCAGGAGATGTTGGTTTCTGGGCTTGGATAGGAGTTGGAACGGGAAGAATTGGTCGAGGGCCTGTTGCTTTGGCTGGGGGACTACTAATAACCACTGGTGGGGAGGGAGGAAGAGGAGAATAATTAGCAGCAGACCAGACAACTGGTTTAGGGACAGAGGGAAGGGATGGGGGGCACTGCCAGGGGATGGAGGCCCAGGGGTCTTGTGGATCGGGCGGGGCACCGTTGCATAATGGGGTAGGACAGGATGGAAGGCAGAGCCAAGTGAGGTGGCAAAGCGGGACGCAGAGTGACGCAGGGGTGGGGTGGGTGGGGTGGAATGGTTGGTGGCTGAGCTGAGCGATGCGTAGTCGGGTACAGGGTCAGATGAGGCAAAGGGTGATGATATGGGAGTGGCAGAGACAGCTTTGGCATAGGGTGGTGGGGGTATGGATGGGGCTTGGCAGCTGCTGTATTCAGGAGGGGGGGTGTTGTACTCAAACGATGAGGCTGTAAATGAAGGGGATGCCATACAGAGAGAGACAAGAGGAGAGAGAGAAGAGAAAAAAAAGTAGCTAACATAGAAACAAAGTCAGCAATGAAAAAAAACGTCTCAACAGTCAGATTGACGCACACGATCATCCCTCTGAGTAACTTGAAGCGAGAGGGACTCAGTTACCCTCAACAACTTGTTGTCAGTCTGGTTCATTTGGTAGCACTCTTGCCTCCACGACAGAAGGTTGTTACTTGGATTTCATGCAATCTAAGCTGACACTCCTATGCAGTGATGGGGATATGCTGCATTGTTGGAGGTACCGTCCTTCGTTCTCAATGAGACATTAAACATGAGGTCCTGTCTACCTGTTCAGGTGGATATTAAAATTCCCAAGGGACTATTTAAACAGAGGAGTTATTCCCAGTGTCCTGTCCCCCCACCCCAAAAAAAACACAAATTAGTCATTCACTTCAATCCTGTTTGCGGGACACTGCTGTTCACAAATTGGCTGCTACGTTCACTCACAAAACACAGTCATTACACTGTATAATCTGTAAAATATATTAGAATGTTCTCCTGACGTGAAAGGCACGATACCAAATGTAAGTATTACCATCATCAACAACAACAGTGAAGCATTTTGAGATGTTTCAATATTCCTCCCGACGTGAAAGGCGCTATACAAATGTAATTTTGTATTGTATTGGATTGTATTAATAGTGCTATATCAAGAATTAACAAGAAGGGCACTTCTCGGAATCTAATATCAGAATATGGCACGGCACCTTACTATGTATGCACAAGGCAGCAGACACTATCGAGATGTTCAGCAGCCACTATCAACTTTGTCTTAGCAGGTAACACCATTTTTTAAAAAACCTTTTAAGATTGAACAGAATTGTGTAAATGCTTAAATTCAGTCTTAATATGGAAGTTGATTTCTTTTTAAGTACAATACTCTATTATGAAAAATCGTAGTCATTGTCCATTATGTCATTGACAATGGTCATAAAGTCATTCTCCATTATGACCGGAAATAGCTCATCACCTGTGCTCTGGTGAACAGAAATCAAACACTTGGAGCCACAGAACCTACTCAGAACCTTACCCCATCTTGCTTTACTCCATTAAATCCCCATTTCATTTCCTTGACACTGCTTTCTTCTTTGCTCTTTCAGAATCTAACAGATTTGCCAATTCAGCACACAAAATATTCCTCTGAAGGAGATATTTCCAGAAAACAGCCTTGCAGCTCATTCCCTCCCCTCACCCTAAAGCAGTTTTCTCTCTCTCTAGGACCATGTCAATATGGTTGCCTTTACCTTCAGCAGTGTTCTCTTACTCAATCATTTATAATAAACTTGGCGTCACCCAGCCACAATTTCTCCATTGATTTTCCATGCAGCTTTCCACCCTCAGCTCTGTACTCTCAATTAATGGCACAGGTTCTGGAAGGGATGTGGAACAGCCTACTGCAGCTTCACTTCAAATCATAGATTATTACAGTCTATACACCTGCCAAATAAAAGTCCATTAAGCCTTATGGGTCACTTACCAGCAGAAGACATTCTTCGCTCTCTCTCCCACTCCAGTTGTTCTTGCTCAAGCTGCTCTTGCCTTTCCCTTTCTTGTCTTTCTTGTTCCAGATTCTCTCGTTCCTGTCGTTCTTGTTCCATGCGCTCTCGTTTCTCTCGCTCTTGCCGCTCTTGCTCCAGCTGTTCCTGTTCTAGTTGCTCTCTCTCCAGCCGTTCTCTCTCTAGCCGCTCTCGTTCCATCCTCTCCCGCTCCAGCTCCTTCTGTCGCTGCTGCTCTTGCAGCTGCCTGCAACACAAAAAAAAAAGGAGTACACATTGGAAGCTGCATCTATGTAGAGATGTGATCACCAATGTCAGGGCTTCTCTTCAATTCTCTCCTTCCCCGAGATTCTTTCAAATCCTTCCACACCCTTGCCCCATCATAGTTCTGCCATCTCCCATCTACCCCCTCCGCTCTGCAAATGAGGCTCTGCTGTATGCCTCATGTCCCACTGACCTAATCATTAGCTGCTGAGCTTTCCGTCATTATGCCTCCAGTCTCTAGAACTCCCTCCGCCTGTGATCAAAGCCCTTTTTTACAAAACTACATTTGGTCTATTTGCTGTACCCATTGCAGCTTCACTTGGACCAAAGGATCCAATGTGAAATGTAGATTGACATTCAGACAGACAGAGACACACACACACACACACACAGACGTTTTGTCTTTATCTATACTCAGCTGGGAGGACTCCTTTTGGGAGGATTCAGTGGGAGGACTCCTTTAATATATTTTCTCTCAGTCTCTCTGTATTTCTTAGTTTCTCTCAGTCTGTGTCTCTCTGTCTTTCTCTGTCTCTCCCATAAAATACACTTTATAATACATTCTCCAACTCATAATCTCTCTCTCTCAGTCTCTCTCTCTGTCTGTCCCACATGGGAGGAATCCAGCTCCCATGACAACCAGAAAATACAATTGTTGCAGAATATAGATGCATCTCTTTGAACAGTGTGTGCTTTCTGCTATTGCTACATAGTTGCAAAATATGATGCATACCTCACATTTTAGGGCTTAATTAAAGCATTTTTTAAATATAGTTCATCAACGATAGGAGATTTCCCCAAAAAAATGTCTATGACACTGCCGGGTGCAAGACCTTGCCAGTGAGGTATAAATCATGTCTCTACGTCAATCGGTTATTGTGTGAGTGACAGATACACAAATACACAAGACACTGTGGCTTTATTAGTATAGATAGATGAGCTTCCCACTTTGCTTAGTAAACCACACTTTGAGACATTATCCTTCTTGATGTAGAATAAGGCAAAAGGTGGGTAAATGGGACTAAATGGATTTCTCTTTCAGAGTCAGCACAGACAATAGGACAAACGGCCTTCTTCTGCGCTGCAGACTTCCATAATTCTATGAAGTGCATGTTGCAATTGTAAAATGAAATGCACACTCTTGATTACCATCCTTGAGCCTCCGCTGTGAATAGTCACATGCAGCACTCCCATGCTGCATATATACAAGGTGCAGTGTTAAGCGCTGCACCTCCAGTAACATTAATTCTCCACATAGGGGGAGGCTTTAGTTAAGAAGCTGAGCCCCACACCCCAAATCAGTTACCAGAAAGCACTGATGGGAGCCAAGCAGGAGAGACTCAGTCTTGCTGACCAAGAGAATACCAGACACACACAGCATCTGTCACACACGGCATGAGACTCCACCAGGCACTATATAAATGCAAGTTGTTGTACGTTGCATCTCTCCCCCAAGCAGTTCTCCAATGTAAAAGGCTAGAGGTAAGAACTTACATTTCTATAGCTTTATCCTGTTGAAAAGTTTTAAAGCACTTTACAGCAATTACAGTCACAGGATATGGTGCAAGGCAAACACCATTTTGTACCCTGCAAGGTCCCACAAACAGCCACAAGGTAAACCAGTTTGTCTGGAGGATTGTTTGTCATAAGAGGAGAAACCCCATCCTTTTTCTAGTTGCATCATCGGTCCACCTGAAGTAACGGCTGATGGATTTTAACGTCCTACTTAAAGAATGGCACTATCTACGATGCAAAACTTTGCACACGTGTGTCAGCCTAGATGGAGAGTCAGAGGTGAGTGGGCTCCTTTCTGAACCAGAGATAAACCGAAAGAATGAGACTTGAGATCAAAGTCCAAATTGACTGTGAGAAGCCATGTGGCGTTGTGTATCCAGTATTCCAAAGGCATTTGTACAAAACACAAACCCAGAACTGTACGGTAGACAAGAGGGCACTGGTTTAGAGTTGCAAAGGGCAATTTCAGCACAGCTAACAAAGTATTTCTTTACCCAGAAGGTAATTAACAACTGAAACGGGATTATGTAGGATACGTGAGACCAGAATACTATACAAATTAAAAAAAAGCTCGATGCTGTGAATGGAATATACTAGGCTGGGAATTCTGGAAGGATGAAATCGAATGGGCTGAAGGGTCTTTTTTCTTTTCCACCTGTACCAATGTACTCAATTCTGTCTTCCTCAGAGAAGTCCCCAGAGCTCTTGCCACAGTGCTGTTAATAATTGTACAGCTCATTCCTCATTCACTCATATCTTTCTCTGTGCAAAATGGTAGTTAAGTAGGATGGTCCCTGCAGGATGGCCTTCATCACAAAACTCTTAATTTTCAGGATGACAAGGATTTTTTTTAATCCCAGAGGAATCTTCTTCCTTACAACACTGTAATGCAGTTGTTTTAAAATTAAACAATTCTACTTCTATTCCCACTGACTAGCAATTCTTTGACTGTTTAATAACTTCTGAAACCCAGGTGTCGCAATGATTAAAACACTGAAATCCCAATTGCTGTCTATAGCATAACCAATGAAGATATTAGAGGTATAATTACATCTAAAACAAAATAGATGTCAGCTATTGAAGACATGAATGATCTACACCAAAATCTAAAACACAAATGCTTATAAACAAGTCACATTTATATGGTGCCTATCACATCAGGAGGATGCCCCATAGTAAAGGGTTTGCACCTTAGCTGGGGGTTGGATTTCGGAGGGGTGGAAGCCAAAGAGGGCGGAAGTGGGAAAAAGGTGACTAAGTTTGTGGCCAAAAGAAGGTCTTGAGACAGACCTCAAAGTAGGCAAGGGAAGGAGCAAGACAAGGGACCCTGGGATGGAGTTCGAGAATGGGGGCATGTAGCTTGAAAATTCGACCACCGATGGTGAGGTGGGCAGGGCGAGGGACATGAAGCAGCCCAGTGTCTGCCGAGGAGAGGGAGTGGGTAGGTTGGCAGGGTTTAAGAAAGTCACAGAGGTAGTGTGTGGCAAGACCATGAAGAGATTTAAAAGTGAGGATGAAGATCTTGAACTCAATCCTCTGTAGGATTGGGAGCCTCAACTGGAGAAAGTATTCTAAAGTATTCAACAGGATTCTAAATTTAAAAATTCGCACCTTTGTTTATGTTTAAAGAAAGATCACCCCCACCCACCCCCCCAATAACAATCCTTGATTCCTAGCACACACATCAATGGAATTTCAGCCTCTCCAAAGGGTGGCAGAGCAAGTTAGAAGGACATAAGTATTTGCTAGGCAAAAGAAGACCAAGGTCCATCCAGTTCGCCTTCCACCATCCTGGCAGTCGCATGACATGTCATGTCCCAAACTACATATTATTTATGATGCCAGTTCATCCTCCAGTTCTCGTACAATCTAGGAAGACATTTTATTTGCATATCCCTGCAGTTTTAGCAGAATCTGCCATTGAACAGCTAATAATAAACGTCTGGCAACTGATTACATTCCAGAAAGCAGTTAATCGCACACACACTGCAATCCTGAATCCCACAGTCACGCCAAAGTGATTCCAGCACAGTCAATAAGCATTGTCTCACAACTATACTGCCAATTCAAATTCCTCAAATAATCACATCTGATGTATCTTGTATCACTGGTATACTGGATCCACTAGCCAATATTAATTTCCATGCCATTGTGGAAGGTGCTCTTCATTTTGTATGGGAGAACACAAGTTCACATAATGATTTGTATTTCAGTCACACAGAGCAATAAACATGCTTGCTGAAGAGCAACTAAAAACTAAACACTATTGTCCCAATTGTTAAGTACCTGAGGGATGCTGATTTTCTGGAAAGGCCAAACAAGTCCCAACATAGGGCTCGAACCCACAACCTTCTGACTCAGAGGCAAGGGAGCTACTAGCTGAACCAAACTATTACCACCTTATAATAAAGGACTAGCTTCAAAATTCAACTGAATTTAAGAGTTTCTACAACTCTAAACCATGTTAAATGTTAAGAGAAAATTGTGCCACGGGTGAGAATTAAGTGAAATCTCTGGCCCTATGAGTTCAGGAGCATTCTGCCTTCTAATGGACACTGATATATTTTCAGGAACTTGGACTCCAGGTATCGGCTTCCAGCAGCTGTCACCCCGAGTCTCAGAATTTCCACTCCTACAGATAAACATCTCAAATTAATGATCAAAACACTTGAATGTTTGAGTTTGGAGCTCAGGCCAGGATGTTCATCTCTCGTCAGTGCCGAGGCTCATTGATCTCTCAGCCTATTTCTGGAACAATGACTCAAACCCAATGAGGGTCACTACTAACATAAGATACAACCCATCACCGCATGCTTGGAAATCAGTCATGGTGCGCTGCTTTATAGAACCAATCAGTGTGATGAGCAGATGCTGGCAGTATCCCTACACAGTAAACCCAACTGCTACATCATTACGTAATCACTGAATAATTAATCCTTCAAGCAGTGCATTTTAACTTCTATAATATTGGGAAGTGAGTGACCGTATGTAGTAACATCCACCTGAACAGGTAAACGAGACCTTGGTTTCATGTCTCATTTAAAGGACAGCAGCTCCAACAATGCAGCATACCCCAAGCACTGCACTGTCATCCTAGACTATTCCAAGTCCCAACATGGAGCTTCTGAACAAACTTCTGACTCACAGACGCTACCAAATGAGGCAGGCCGACATACAAACTGAGCCATTCTAAACTCATGTCTGTGCTTTTTCCCTGAATTCTTTTATATTCATCATCTTCAAATGTTCCTCCATATTTAAAAAAAGGTTACAATCTCATCATTAACACCACTTGCAGTAAAGTGTTGAACATTCTAGTAAGTCAGCATGAAAATAAATCTTCTAATTTCCTCCTCAACTCGTCCAACGACAATCCTGATCTTACGTGTCTTATTACCAATTCACCAAAGAGCAGGAATAATCTATTTACACTCTCAAACCCTTTCAGAATGAGATCCTTTCTTGGACCTATACTCCCACTCTTTGGTGACCACACTGTACAGGAATAAATGTTCTACTGCTAATTCAAGCGAATTGATTATGCAGCTATTCAACAGGTTTATTGTACTCACAATAAAAAATGCCGGATGTCTGGCCCTATGCTCCTTTGATGCATATTCTGTACTAGCTCCTTCATGGTTGACAACCATACAACACAGTGACTGACAATGATTGGAGTCCCTTTTATTTGCAGCCTGAATTACAGACCGTTGATCATATTGTATTATTAGCCCTGAGCTCAGTAGCATTGGAGTTAAAGCAGCATGTCTGAAGGGATCTCCCTCACGCCTAGTCAGTATTTCACAGCTAAATATCCTCGAACTCCAATGTCACCATGTTGCCAAATGTTTTGCAACAGATCAAATAGATCTCATCATATACAAAAATAGATCTGAATAAGTCAAAACAAAAATAAGCTGTAGTGTCACACAAGGGAAGCGGGTGAGAGAGGAGAGGGGTGGGAGGGAGAGCAGAGAGGAGAGCAGGGGATGAGTGGGAAGAAGTGGGAGAAACTAGGGAAAAACGGGGAGAAAAGAGAAACGGGAAAGACACCGAAAAGTTTGAATGAGTGTCACCCTATCCTCCCTGCTTGTGTCTCACATGGGCTCTTTAAAGCAGATCACATTTCTCTATCTGAAGGAAGCTCAGTTGGGAAAGAACAAGCGAATGTGATGGACAGTGCTGAAACAACAGAGGAAAAGACCATAGATGAACTCTTAGCCGAGGATGATACTTCCAATGCAGTGCTGGGGCTTACTGCATTGTCAGAGGTGTCAACTTTCAGGTGAGACATTAAATTAAGATCCCTTCTGCTTGTTCAGGTATATTATAGCACTAATGGAAAAGGAAAGGTAATTTCTCCTGGTGCCTGGCCAACAATCCTCCACAAAAAAAATAGATATTTGGTTCATGGCTCTTTGTGGTACATTATTGTGTGCAATAGGGCACTATTATTATCTACAAACACACAGTTATATTCAGAAAACTCAGAAGTGCTTTGAGACATTTAGAAGTGATAACGCACTACATCAAATTATTATATGATAAATACTTGCCAGTCCTCCAAAGGCAGATCAAGTCACAACACCTTTCACACAATAAAGTGAAATCAGACTTTCTATTGTCAGAGGAAGACGTTCTCATATTTCAGTCTTTCAGCCCAAAGTCATATTTAGCCACCAGTATCCTTGAGGTTTGACAGCTTCAGTTACTGAGGTCACTGCTCTTAGATCAAAATGTTCCTCAATAGCAGGTCCAGCCAGAACAGTCATCCAGAACATACAGTACAGATCATCCAGAACTCTGCACCTCATGTCCTCTCCCGCACCAGGCTCCATGATGCCATCACCCCCACACTCGCCCGGCTTCACTGGTTCCCCATCACTCAAAGGATAGAATTCAAAATCCTCGTCCACACTTTCAAGGCCCTCCACGGTCTTGCCCCCTCCTACCTCTCTGATGACCCCCTATCAACCTGTCCGCTCCCTCGGCTCAGCAGGTTCCAGCCTGCTCCAGGTCTCCAGCCCAACCCGCCCTACCATTGGCGGCTGGGCTTTCAGCCTCTCTGCCCCCAACATTTTGGAACTCCATCACACAATCCCTTCGCCTTGCTCCCTCTCTTGCCTCCTTCAAGGCACGACTCAAGATCTTCCTTTTTGACTGTGCCTTCAGCTGCCCTCCTACCCCCGCTGCCCTCCCTCATCCAAACCCTGCCCCCCACGCTCGGGTCCTGATCCTTGACTGTCCAGCGCCTTGAGACGTCCTCCCGACCTGAAAGGCGCTTTACAAATGCAATTTTGTTGTTATTGTTGCCCCATCCCTGGCCCTGGAATAATCCCACCCTTCTCTGTACAAAACAATAAAATGCCAATCCCTCCCCTTCTCCAAAAATTAAATCTAACACAGCAGACAGAAATGAAAAGAAAAGCTTGCTTTCCAAAATTAACATCTAAACACAAAGGAAACTTTACCGCCTCTGAATTTCCAGCTCCTCCTGGCACGGTCCATTCTGCACTTGTGGAAAAAGCTGAGAGTTCTGGCGCGACAACGTTGGACCTGAAAGAGAAAAAACAAACGACTTATGAGTTTAAAAACATCTCTAAAGTTGGACATCAGCACAGCTTTGTCTGAAACTAATCCACACGCAGCTAAATCTCCGCACAATATTTTACAGCAATTCTTTGAAATTCCCACTTGTACAGTAGCCAGGTGACAGAATAAGTTTAAAAAATTCCCATCATTTTCTACCCTGAACAAGTCAGTCACAAAGCTCTTAGCTTCGACAGCAGATAACTGTCGGCTGTTGTCCAAGGGGAAAGTTGGTCTCTGAGTATCCAGCAATTCTCTGGTTCTTTACACAATGCTGTTGGCAATGTTTCTTGCCACCCATAACTGTACTAGCTTCATTTATGCTAGTTCTTGGTGGTTGGGTTGCTTTATGAGACAGCTTGCAGAAGTGCAATAATTAACTGGACTCAGTTAGGAGCATGCTTGCCTCTGCATTGGAAGGTTGTAAATTCAAGCTCCATACAGGTTAAATGTCGCCTCGGCTGGCACTACAATGTACTGGAGAAGCTCTGCATTTGCCATCCTCCAAACCAAGGTCACATTCTTTATTTGGAATTAAGCTATAACTATTGGAAAAGAGAAGCGAGTTTCTTCTTATGTCCTACCAAGAATCTTCCGTATTGTGATTATCAAGCATTTGCCTACAAAATCACTACACTTGAAAGTAATTGCTGCAAAGTGCTTTGAGACATTGAGCCATTTGAGAAATTTATACAGTTATAATGCGGTGGTTTGGGTTTATATTTTAAAGGTGAAGACCAAATTATAATTGGTCACATTTAGAGCAACTGCCAGTCAGGACTTCGGTGATCTCAGTGGCAGTGTCACCTAACTCATCAAAATGCTCTCACAAGTATTCCCAGCATTGACATCAATCCTTCTGCATTTACGCACTATGTGCAGAAAGCTAGTTAGTCAGCACCACAAATTGGAACTCTAGTGCACTTCTGGTACACCGTGGGTACTCAATGCATCTACTTTATATATGGGGCCACATTACACTTAAGCACAGAGCTGGGATCTCTTTTGATGGTCTTGATCAGTCGACGCATGTGCGGAATAACATGCAATTCCACCTCATGATGCGACAAGTCAAGACGCATCGAAGCGTGGGAAACAGTCTTGAACCATCACCGCGTGAGCATTTACCAATGCAATGACAAGCTATTATATGCCCACTTACTGGGTGCAATGAATTACACACGCGCAGGGAAGATTATTTATTGAAACGGATTTTAAACGACTTCTACAGTTTACCTCCAATCGGACTTTGCGCAAGTCACATTAAATGTTATGGTGCCAACTGACACGACTTGAGTTTTACTGTACTTGCATTAGATATAGCACTTTTCGTGTCGGGATTTTTTGTACAGTGTAGTGATTCTTTTCTAGGCGAACGCAGCAGGCAATTTGCACACAGCAATGCCTCAAACATCCATGAAGCAAATGATCAATTATATTTGAGCTATCAGTGGCCAGGACACCAGGAGGAACTCCCTTCTCTTCAAGTTGTAGGATCTTAATGACCACCTCAACAGGTAGACAGGACCTCTGTTTAACAACACATCTGAAGGACTGCACCTCGATCAAGGCAGTACACTTCCAGCCTAAACTCAAGAGTTCAATGTCTCAACATGGGGCTTGAAACACTACCTTCCGACTCAGAGGTAAGAGTGATACCAACTGAGCCAGGATAATACATACAATGGCAGTGCCTCAAACAATATCCAACCCTGTTCCACTTTCCAGCATTTGTGATATTCACAATGTGGAATGATTAGAAAACTGATACTAGTTCAGGCCAAACTGCAGTACTCCCTCTACACCCATTATATCTCATTGACCACAGATTCCTGTGCCACCAATCCACTTTACAATATATTCTGCGAAGCGCTTTGAGATGTCTTAACAACGCGATAAGGCGCTATATTGAATGTTTTATGTCAACAGAACTGAGGCCGACCTGCTTGGCTCCCGTCAGCGTCTCCATACCCCGCGCGCTGACGCAGCATCACCCTTCATGGATGCACTCTGCACCTCACGGAGCCAATATGGAACCTTGGCATCCTGTTCGACCCTCAACTGGGCTTTATCCTCCACATCTGTGCCATGATCCGCTCTGCCTTTCCCCACCTCCGCAGAAACCCTCATCCACGCATTTATCGGATCCTACTCAAACTCCCTGCTTGTCGGCCTCCCCAACTCCTCCCTCCACAGGCTGTAGAACATCCAGAACTCTGCAGCCTATGTCCTCTTCCGCACTAGGCTCCGTGACTCTATCAACCCTGTCCTTGCCCGGCTCCACTGGCTCCCCATCACTCAGAGAATACAGTTCAAGATCCTGGTCCTCACCTTCAAAGCCCTCCATGGCCTTGCTCCTCCCTACCTCTGTGACCTCCTAAACCCCTACCAACCCGCCTGCTCAGTGGCTTCCAGCCTGCTTCACGTCCCCCACCTTGCCTGCCCCACAATTGGCAGGCGGGCAGGCCTTCAGCCTCTCTGTCCCCACCCTCTGTAACTCCATCCCACAGTCCGTCCGCCTCACCCCCTCTGCCTCGCCCACCCCTCCCCCCACCCTCCCCTGCCTCCTTCAAGACCCGTCTCAAGACCCTCATTTTCGTACTTTCGGTCACCCTCCTACCCCTATTTGTCCTCCACCCATCTTGATCCCAACCACCAGCTCGAGTGTGAATCCCTGACTATCCATCCTCTTGATGTGAAAGACGCTGCACAAATGTAATTTGCTGTTGTTATATCAAATATATCAAATGCAAGGATTATTATTCTGCATTGATTGCCTCCCTCTCCCACAAAAGGCTGATCTTTTGTGGTATATGCCTGCCAGTACACCCTTTCCCTCCTGTCATCATCCCATCCTGTGAATCGATAGAATCCATGTTTTTCTCAATCACATAGTCAATAACACAAGCAGAACCTGTCGACTATTTTTCAGTGATATAAGAACAATTTATAAATCTTGGATCGACCCCAGACTATTTTACATAGCATATTCGGACCCATTTGCAAAACAGACACCTCCCACCGGATTTCTACATACCCCTGACTGACCAAACAAAAGCAGAACTGAAACTGCAGTTTAATTTTTAGAAAGTAAGTTGACAACATTCAATTAACAACTCCAAGTGTCACAGACCAGCAACAGAGGTAATTAAAGTTAACCACAGCAGATCCTACAGCAAGAGCTACATAGGCCTTTCACATCTGCCATTCAATACTTTCCCCTCTGCACTGAATCCCACACATTAATGAACTGGTCGAGATCTCAACCACTATCCATATCCGAAACACAGCAGCAACACTTCAGCGTGAAAATCAGCTTGATATAGTCTATTCTCCAGAGACTGCAAAGGCTGAATGCTGTCTTTGAAGTGAACGTTGTACGCTGCTGTTGAGAAATATAATTTTTCAGCATTTAGCACAAGCAGCGAAGGCACCGACATTGACGAGGCTCCAGATCTGCATTTGCAGGCTACCTACATGTGAAGATGGAGACATGCTCCCGCTTTTGGCAGCACAGATACTGCCACATGCTTCGATCGTGGGTCTTGCAGTTCCGAACATGTTCAAATGGCTCTTCAGCTCGTAAGTGAATCATCATCTCATAATGCCAATCTCCCTCCAGATTTCACCTCATATTAATCCTCAGTAGCGCTGACACATCATGAGACAACTTCTTCCCAAAATGAAAGGACTGGCCATGTATTTTGACCTACATGGGTCTGTATTGCGCGTGCGTGCCTCACAACATCTGACTAACAGAGGTCAACTTTATACATTCTGCTGCCTTGGCCCTAACTCTGCATTTCCTGTACCTACTTAATAATTAATCCATCAAGCTCACCGCTGGGTTGGTTTTTAATGCAACATCCTCGCAGCCGTTCCTACGCCTGCACTTAAAACAATCATTTAATTCTATTACTCCTGCCATGAATGGTTTGATATCAAAACAATTAAATTTCTGAGGCCAATTTCATTACTCGCTGAATTACCAGTAAAACTCCAATATGCTGTCTCTGTATTTTTGGGGGATGCTCACCACAAAGTGGGTTTCAGATTTTGTTAAATGACTGTGGACTTGGCACTTTCCAGCACAGAAATTCTATTACCATTCTTATTCCAGACAGTAAGACTTGATGTAAGACAGCTGTTCCAAGGCCCACATTTAGAAGTGAGCCATGCTAATATTACAATAAATAACTCCTTCTAATCATTTTCAAATCTTGCTATATCATGCTTTGGCATACTATGGAACCAATTATAAAGTGGGTGCACCATAGACCCATGGCATACAGGCTGGCCGACAGAATGGGCAGAAAAATGTAATAAGGAAATATAAAGCGATATAAAGGAGTCCTGTAGCTCAGTGGTTAGAGCACTCGCCTTGTAAGCGAGACACCTGGGTTCAATTCCAGGCAGGGCAAAACCTTGGGCAAGTTTCCTTACTCTACACGCCTAATAATAATCCCTCCAAAAAATAAAACAATAATAAAATGGTCATTTTCAATCCACGACTGTTTGTGGGACACTGCTGTGCGCAATTGGCTGCTGCGTTTCGCCAACAAATATACAGTCAATTCACTTTACAGTCTATTCTGTGAAGCGCTTTGAGACGTCTAGAAGACGTGAAAAGCGCTATATCAAATGCAAGGATTATTATTATACTATATTATTATATATTATTTTAAACCTTTACTATACCACACTTGGAGTACCATGTACAGTTCTGACCACCACGTCACATGAAATATATAGCAATGTATATAGTACAGGGCATGCATATAGGATGGATATTGATCATTTTTTTCACTTGTTGATGAGTCAATAACTAAAAGATATAAATTAAATACCAGATAGCCAGTGGTAGATCTGATAGGGAGTATAGGAAGAACTTTTTCATACAGAGGATGGTGAGAAAGTAGAACTCATTGTTGGAAACTGCGGTTGAAGCAAATAGCATCAATTGATTT